GTTGGGAATCTTAGTCTTTCTTTGGGAAGGCATATTTTCTTTAACAAGGAAGTTAATAAAATTGAGAAGAATTATAAGTTACATTTGTCACAAAGTAACAAATTTTAGCTATTTTTACTTCTTTTAGCTAATTTTAGTCAGTTGAAAGTTTTCAGTTTGGGACCTAGACATACTGAAGATATAGACTCAGACACACCCAGAAGGAGCTTCCTCCGTATATAATACCAATTTCTAAAGCAGACGGAATTAGCTGCCACTTGGAGATGCCTAATTGTGCCTTTCCAAGACAGTCAACATAGGCTGAATAGCAGGAATACCACTGGAAAAGCACACTGTTCAAATATCTACATCCCAGGATACACTAACAACTCACAGGGTTAAGCTGGGTTTCTTCTATTAAAGCAGTTCATTAATAAAAATAAATAAATAAAATAATAATAATAATAATAGGAAGGCCTCAGCTGAGGCCATTTATGCACCTGGATGTATCTGAATTTAAGTACCTGGATGAATCTAGAATTTAAGACAGCCTCTGAAGGTGATACTGACACTTGTGATCACTGATGCTGAGCACTGAGATCATGTTACTGCTATCTGCTTTGCTCTGGATTTTCCTTCCTTGAGTTTTCATACAGTTCACAGCCAAAGCAGATGTTAACCGTCAGGGGATGCTTTTTCTTTTAGACTTCCTCCTGCTATGGTGTAAAGAGTAAGGCTTCAAAGCTGCAAGTACCCCTCAACATGTCCTCTATCGGTCTGGTAATGTGCTGGTAAGTAGAAAGAGTTTCCACAGGAAAACCTGAAAGAGAGACAAAAAATACAAGAACAAAATTAAAGTCAGGGGGATTTGGCTGGTTAGGGAAAGAGGAATATTTTTCCTACCCTGATGAGGTCCAAGTTGTCTGGCTTGATGGCAAGTCTCATCAGATAGATAGTGGAAAACCTTGTATTTAGGTTGAGAAAGATTAAATGCAACAGTATTTAACAGTTGTTAAATACAACAGTATTTAAGTATTACGTATTAAGTAATAAGTATTTAAGTATTAAGTAATAAGTAATTATTACTTAGTAATATAAATAAATTACAAATTATTACTTAGTAATATAAATAAGTAACTTAAGTAATAAGTATTTAAGTATTAAGTATTTAAGTTGGGAGACTGTGGAACTTACTGCTAGGGAAATAAGACAGGGAGTGAGTATCCTTCTCTCTCTTGAGCACTTTGTGACAATATGGAAGATAAAAATCATCAGTTCTAACTAGTCTGTGTCTCAAGAATAACTGAAAAATATCTTCAAATATTATGTTGCTAGCTCTTTGTTGTCTACCTGTCTTCTAGTACTCTTTCTGCCCTACTGCCTCCAGATCACAGCGCATCTAGTGTGTGCCTGTAAAATATTCTCCATTTAAAACAAAATCCACTAATGGTTTTGCATAACTGCTGTAACAATCGTTTAATTTTGGAGACTTTGCACTTAGCACTGCACTAAAAGCTAGGAATTTCTAGCATAAACCTCTAACAACTTATATTGATTGCACATCCTTAATGCTCTGGTTTTGTTACAGCCATTTTTTATGAACTTATGCTTCTAAATGTGTTCTAATATAAATATGGTGGTGGTGCAGCCTTAAAACATCATTGTAGCCAATGAGGGTCTCATAAAAGGGTCTTATATTTAGAAATTTTCAAGTTTCTTTGCTTCAGTTCCTAGAAGAGCAATGATTGTTCACACATGTTGTAGTTCTGTAATTAGGTGTATCCATAATCACATACACACACAAGGAACCCTCACATTTTCACAGCCTTGAGCACTGGAGTTTTACTGTATCTCATATAAGAAAGCATTACTATCTTATTGTGTAAATGTAGATAAAGGCAGAAACATTTGGCCAAATTGAAGTAGGAAGTTGTGCAGGGGAAGGAATCAACATCAGGTCAGTACCTGCAGCACTGATGCAGTTTTCATCTCCAGAGTTTCAACTCACAAGAGTTCTGTGAAAATGGGCAGTATGAACTCAGGAAGAAACTGGCACTTGGTGTAAATAACCACATTGAAAGGACACAAGCATCTTTTGTGAGATAAAACTCAAATAAGCAACTGCCACCTCAAACAACAAACAACTAAAATATATCAGTATTCATATTATAAGGAAATACACTCTGTAGTATTCAAAATTAGTAAAACCAATACATTTAAACATTGTTAATCCTAATTAAAACTAAAATACACAATTTCATCACCAATAAAAAAAAGTCTTGAGAAGCAGATAGGTTTTGCAAGATTCTTGAATGCTGACATTCAGACTAGCAGACCAATGGAGACAAAGAATGCTGATGCTGAACATCTTTCCCTTTACATGTCTTCAAGTATCTTAGATTTCTGACTTTAGGTTGGGATACTCGGCTGCTACCAGAGGAGATCAAGCTGTCATCTGGGTAGCTAGATATATATATTTTTAATGGTATCATTATGTGTTACTTCTTTTTTTTTTTTTTAATTTTTTTTTTTTTTAGATATGTTGGCAGGTTAGCAATCCATTTTCCTATGTCTGGATCTTTCTGTCTTTTTTTTTTTCTCTTGTTGAAGGCTTTCTTCAGAGGTTAAACAACTACCCTGTTTTTATCTGCTATCTGTAAACTAAGGCTGATCTGAGAAAGTACAGACTTTTTCATTCATCATTAAGAAATGTTAAATTCAGAAGTCTTGTCTGCAGAAAATTTATTTATTTATTTATTTTTTTTTAATTCTTATTTTTTACAATTTGACAGCATTCCATTATTCTTAGCTCCAATATTAAAACTCATTAGATAATTTCATTCCTCCTTGACAACTTTGGATTTTCGCTTGGATTTTTGTTTTGTATTATTTAAATTGATTATTTTTGTAACATGATTTCGGGATTCTTGTTCAAAATGCATTGATTTTGCTGTGATACAGTAATGGATATTGAGTATTTATTGCCTTCATCAACAAAAAAGTACATTATGACAATATTCCAGACTACAAAGACAGGTTGAGTACATCAGAAAACCATATATTATCCATCAAGAATGCAAGAATCAGTGATGAAAAGAGATTTGTATGCATGCATGCTAGCAACAGAATATGATATTCCAAGGAGCAAGCAATAGTCAAAGTCTTCAGTAAGTAATCTCGTTGTTACTACTATTAACATTCCTCAGTCTCTGAATCTTCAACTAAGGAACTTTTTGTTTAAGAGAAAGATTAAAGCCCAGAAAATAAGCTTGGCTGAATACATTACTAGTAATAAATATCTAATATTTTCCACGGAACTTTAGGAAGGGACTCCAGTGTAGTTGTCCAGTCATCTCTTTATCCCTAAGAAAAATCAATGGATGGTCAGGCCTTGACACAGGCTCCCAAGGGCAGTGCTCATGGCCCTAAGCTGCCAGAGTTCAAGAAGAATTTGGACAGTGTTCTCAGATATGTGGCTTGAATTTTGCGTGGTCCTGTGCGGAGAATTAGACTTGATGATCATTGTGGGTCTGTTCTGGATTGGCATATTCCATGATTCTATTATATGCTCCCTTCACAAAATATCTAATTGTATGCCTCCTTAAACATTTTCTACTACTAGTATGGCTATTAGGCAATACTCTAACATAAAAGCTAAATCTAGGCTTCAAAATTTTGGGACTGTTAGGGCCTTCCTGAGCTGGTATGGCTTTTACATATTCAGTTTTCTTTCATTGTTCGTGAACTTCTGAGGAGTCACTACATCAATTTCCAGCAGCCCTCACTCTGTTTGGCAAGAACTGCAACTGTACTCCCTATTTTTGTTTCCTTTTTCAATTAACAAGCTTCACTCAATGAATGTCCCTTTGTCCATTGGTAGAGAAAAGAGAGTGAACAATAGATCCTCATTTCCTTTATCACAGAATCATGGAATGGCTTGGAAGGGACCTCAGGGATCCATGCTTGGTCATCATTTTTCATCTTCTGTTGTATATTCTCCATTTTTTTATTTTATTTTATTTTTATTTCACCCAGACAGCAGAATTCTGCCTCAGTTATCACTATGGAAGCCAATCCATGTCTTTGATTACTACCTCTTCTGAACCTCTTTCAATCAACTGAGGTTTTTTTCTCCAAGACATGCTTCTAAACTGGAGCTCCTGGAACATGTTAACACATTAATTTTGCTCCACTATCTCACTGAAATGTCATACGTTTCATAGTTGCTGTATGTGGATCAGATGCTGGATCCACGTGGATTCTCACTCACTTGCATTTGGTTGTCATTAACAATGCATGGGTTATGATTTTTCCCACCTTTTTTACAAGATGCATGTTAGTTCACTGTATTTTCATGCAACCCAGACTTTCTTTGCTTGTCAAGATAACATTAAATAGCACCTGAAGTATTACAAAGGACAAAATACACAGCATTTGTTACTTTTTGCCATTTGGCAATAGGTAATTTCCTGCCAGGAATAAAGTACTAATGACAAATAAACAAATATCACCTGCAGGACAAGGGGAAATGGTTGCAGGACAAGGGAAATGTTTGTGAGTTTAGGGAGGGAAGATTTAGGTTGGATTTTAGGGGAAGTTCATTACAGAGAGAGTGTTGAGGTGCTGGAACAGGCTGCCCAGAGAGGTTGTGGACGCCCCGTCCCTGGAGGTGTTCAAGGCCAGATAGGATGGGGCCCTGGGCAGCCTGGTCTAGTACTAGATGGGGAGGTTGGTGGCCCTGCATGTGGCAGGGGGGTCGGAGATTCATGATGCTTGAGGTCCCTTCCAACCCTGGCCATTCTGTGTGATTCTGTGTTCGTGACACTCATGCTGCCAGCTGTTTCCACGTGGACGTACAGCCACCCGCAAACAGGACCGATGTTACCCCAACCACAGCGCACCACCGCACCGCGATTCCATCTCCACGCCCACTTCACTTCCGGCCGCCGCCCCGCGCATGCGCACTGCCACCCCCGCCGCCGAGCATGCGCACAGCGCCGGGTGCCGACGGCGGCCCGGGCAGCTTCGGCGCCGGTACCACCGCCATGGGTTGAAGGGTGCGGTGCGAGGGCTGCCAGCGGCTGTCGGGCGGGCTGTCCTGAGGATGGAGAGAGCCATGGAGCAGCTCAACCGCCTCACCAGGTCCCTGCGCCGCGCCCGCACCGTGGAGCTGCCGGACGGTAGGAGCCGAGGGGCGGCCGCGGTCTCGGGAATCGGAGAGCGGGGTTAAGAGGGTTGTGTCGGCTCCCACCGCCCGACCCGGCACCGCCGGGCTAAGCGGGTTCCGCCCTGGGAGGTGACTCGGGGAACGGGAGCCGGCTCCCCTCCCTGCTCCGGGCACTTGTTATTTTTTCTTCACCCTCTTCCTTTCCCCGGCGTCCAGCAGTGCCCGTCTGCCTGTCGGGCAGTGGCGGCTCCCACGCCTGTGACCTCCCTCTGCGTGTGCCGGCGTCCCGCTGCCAGGAGCGCTGCCCGCGGAGCAGCTGCGGGAAACCCGAGGGCTCTACTGCCGTCAGTCATGCGCTGTCACCGCGCTTCCTTCGGGGAGTTGTTTTTACAGCTGAGCCTGACTGCGTGGCTGCCAGCTTTCGTTTCCTGCGTTGTGGGGAAGGAATAGCTCTCTTTTCTGTCTACTTTTTCTGTTGGGACTTCTATGGGGCTTTCTGCTGCTCCCGGCTCCTTGTCCCCACAAATGGCTTCAGTGCTGCGGTGCAGTTATTGATAATGTCACAGTGGACAGCTGCTTCAGAGGGACTTTCCTACTTCTCAGCAAGCTCTTGAATAGTTGCAGTGAGAATTGATTTGATATTGCCAACACAAGATCAAACTTACGGGGATAATGAAGTTACACTTCAACCAATCATGATGACAATATCATGGAATCACCAAGGTTGGCAAAGATCTCCAAGATCATCCAATCCAACCGTCCACCAATCACCCATATTTCTCACTAAACCATGTTTCTCAGTGCAACGTTTAAACATTTCTTGAACACCTCCAGGGATGGTGATTCCATCACCTCCCTGGGCAGCCTGTTCCACTGCCTCACCATTCATTCAGTTTTCCCTAACATCCAACTTGAATCTCCCCTGGTGCAACTTGAGGCTGTTACCTCTGGTTCTGTTACTGGATACAATGTGAATTATGTTCCAAGATAACCTCTGTTCAATGACCGTCTTGCACTGGTACATCTAATGTCTTATCCCTGGATCTGGCCATTCATTGGCCTGCTCAAACTTTTCTTGAGGAACAGCTCTTGTGTAAGCAGTTTGGGATTTAGTGTTTCATTCCAAACGTGTACTGACAGGATCAGCTTAGAATATGCCACTCCCAGTCTGGTATGACATGTGGTTCGATGGCTTCCCAAGTGCCATGAATAGCTTTAATTGTAAAGGTGTGGAGTTCAACTCTGCTCTCCGTCCTTGCTTACCTGGGAGTTACAGTATTCACAGGAAAGAATGAAGGGGTGGGGAGAGTGCACCGTCACAAGAGTACTGCAGCAGAGGGTCTAGAGATGTTCAGGAACATGTAGATGTGGCACTTAGGGACATAGTTTAGTGGGCAAGGACTTATAAGTTGATGGTTGGACGAGATGATCTTAGGTGTCTTTTCCAACCTTAATGATTCAATGAATCTATGAAATGGCGTGTTTGAACTTCCTGGTGCTGATAAAGTTGAATCTACATGTTTGTCTTTCTCTGAAGATAAAGCGACTAAAGAAACTGTTGCTGTTTAGTCTGGGGAAGAAGAGGCTGAGGGGAGACCTTATTGCTGTCTTCCAGTATCTGAAAGATGCTTACAGCGAGAGCAGGGCTGGTCTCCTGTCACTGGTGACAGGACGAGGGAAATGGCCTCAAGTTGTGCCAGGGTAAGTTTAGGTTGGATATCAGGAAACTCTTTTTTACAGAAAGGGTTGTGAAGCACTGGAATAGGCTCTCTAGGGAGGTGGTTGAGTCACCATCCCTGAATGTGTTTAAAAAACATTTGGTTGTGGTGCTCAGGGACACGATTTAGTGGTGGGTTGTTGGAGTTAGAGTAGTATGGTTAGGTTGTGGTTGGACTCAATGATCTTGAGGGTCTTTTTCAACCTGAGCAATTCTATGATTCTCTATGTGGGCTGTCACCATTGGGGTACTATATAGGTGCTGCTCACGCTTCTTTAAGGTGGTGATCTCTGTTAAATTCAAGCCTGTTAGGAAATAAAATATGTGTATCTTGTCAGATCAAGATTCTGGATGATGAATTTTAAGTGTGTTTGTTTTTTAAGCGAGCATTACTTAAGTCCAGTGCCAGTGAGTACAGTGAACTGGCCTTACCAACACAAAAATATTTGTGTGTGTTTGTTTGTTTGTTTTAAATCACTATTCAGTAGGCATTTTCTGGGCACGTAAGAGCTCAACACAAATATCTGGATTCTACTCTAAACGCTCAGTGCCTGAAAGCCAGGCCTTGTGGCTTGGAGCTGCAACTTTTAGGCCCTTAATGCTCATGACTTGAAATAGAAGTAAGTTAGATAATGATGCATATAACTCTTTTCTCCCTTGTATTATGTATTTTTACTTTGAGTCAATAGGAGCTTGTTTATGAATAGGGATAATATTTACAAAAAATAAGAAGAAAAGCTCCTTAGTTAATTAGCTCTGTACAGAAAAATTCGGGTAAAATCTGTGTGTCACACAGTATACATGTCCTTAATGGAATAGGAAAGGACTCAGGTGAATAACTATGTCATAAACACCCTTTGTGGCCTGGCTACATTCATATTTAACTACTGCTTAGGTTTAATTGATCCTCTCATGTTCTGTTGTTGCTGTTATTTTTAAGCAGACTTGTATTTTCCTTCTAAGAGAGGTTCTGAACAGAGCTCAAGCAAGAGGTTTTCTGTATTATTTTCATTTTGTCGATGTATTTGTGAGATAATCACATACATTTTTCAACAGCTCTTCCCTCAAGGCTGTTTTAGTACATTAAAGTCATTTTTAAGTTTTGTCAAATTAATTTTTTCTTCTTAAAATAATACTTCATTCCAGAAAGTCAGTAAGTGATCAGGCAGGCACATCTAAACACACGTAGTTCTAATATGTGAAGTGGTAATACTGACAGAGAATATCATTGCATATCAGGCTATTTTCAGTCGATCGTCGATCTGCATCTTTGTGTTGCAGCCTTTTTTTTTTTCAGTGCATTCAGATATGAAATATGAAACATTACAAATAAAATATACTGTATTCAAGTTTTCAAGTCAGGTTTAAAATAAATGATTGTAGTGTAGCTTTCACTTTCACAAACTCATAGCTGTGAGGATTATAGAAGTCACCTTGCAATATGGGAAATAAATGTCTTTTTAAGATATATTTTTAAATTTTTTGCTCAATGCACAGTTCTTAAATGCTTTGATGTAGCAGTGTTAAAATAAATTGATAGAAAGAGAGAAAAAAGCCATGTTGAAGTTTTACCTCTTTGTGAGTATGGTAGATCTTTCTTTATGATGTAACTCTAGATACCCATAACCTAAGTAATAAGAGTGATCTCTTGAACATGGGCACTTTAAAAGGTGAGTAACTCCTGCTAGATGAACTTATTTTAGGTAAAATATTACATTTTGATAATGGAGTCGTTTAATTTCTTTACAGATAATGAAACTGCTGTTTATACACTAATGCCAATGGTGATGGCTGACCAGCACAGGTGAGAGATTATTTACATTTCCTATTTTTACTTTAAGGTCATAAAAAGCAGCATGTTTGCCGTGACTACAGATGCTAGCGTGTTCTCAATAGTTCTAGTGCTGAATTGAGGTTTCTTCAATAGCTGAAGTTAGTAGTTGACTGTGACTGGCTGAGAGATCTGATTCATTTTGTACTTTAAACTGGAACTGCATCATTCCCTTGGTACACAGAGAGGAATTTGCTCTAGAGTAAGGAAAACATAGTTTTGTAACCGGGTTGTAGCTCTGAGTGTGTATTTTTTATGACATAAAAGCTGTTAGTCTTATGTAGATGTCTCCAGAAAAACAGAATGAGTGCTGGACAATGAGACTGACACTTCTGTGATTCCTCAGATAAGCAGCTGTTTCCTCTTACTCAGTTGCCCTCAGTATGTTTGTGTTTGGGACTTGTGAGCTGTACAGTGCCAACAAAGCAGTGCTGCCTTCCACTAAGTTCTGTAGGCATGCAGGTAGTAGCTCCTGCTGAAAATAGAAATTGCTTATCTAATCAGTATAAACATGTTACACGTAATATCTTGTTGATACTGCGTGCAAAGGTTTTACATTACATGATCAGCTCATTCCTGGAGGTTGAAATGACCAGTTCACTTGTAGTCTGACCTACTTTGAGATATCATATCTTAATCGGTTCATTAGAACTCAAAGGGTTGTATTTAAGTTTGTCTTACTATTGTAGTATGTCTTCCTACGTAGCGGTCTCCTGTACTAGTCTTCTTTCTGATCTTTGTTTATATTTAGGAAAGCTGGTAGATATCTCAGCATATCTACTATTAGATATAGACTAGTCTAGTTGAGGAAAATAAGAGTGTGTAGTTTTGTCAAACGTAAGCTAGTGATATACTTGTTTTTTGTCTGTAAAGGTGTCATTTGGCCATCTGGTCTAATGCCAAGTAATGCACATCAGAGGCCCGCTGTCACAGTTTCTTTTCATGTTGTAATACTATAATGTGATGGAAAACACAGCAATGACAGTGAGGTAGCAGAGTCCCAGGCTGCAGCAAGTGATGATAAGCCCAAGTGCAGCAGTTGTGTATGCAGAAACAAAGGAAAAGAGCTGCTTACCTTCAGAAGGCCCTCAGATAGGCAGGGACCTCAAGCAAGATACCCCTCATTGCCAACCCTTAAATGAGGTCTGGGAAGGGGTGGATCCTGGCTCCACCCCTTCTGGTCACTCATATGCACCTGCATGCACCTGAGCTGCCCTGGGTTGGCCCTGTCTTCCTACCAGGTGCTCAATCACTGATTCAGGACATGTCTTAGCATTTCCACTGCATATGTGCAAGTCAGAATGAAAGAATGGAAGTAGGTGTTAATATACAGATGCCTGAATATTGTTGGAACTCTTGTTCAGAAGTTGGTTGTGGGGAAAAAAGTTGTGATCAAGTAAGAAATAGAGTACTTTTGTATTAGTTATGGTGTATACTTGGATATTGTCAGCTATTTTTTATTAACATCTGGTATTTCTGTTTGAAGGTCTGTCTCAGAGCTGCTGTCAAATTCAAAATTTGATGTGAATTATGCGTTTGGACGTGTGAAGAGAAGTTTGCTTCATATTGCAGCAAAGTAAGACTTATTTGAGTCCAGTCCAGAAGTTAACAATGAAAATAATACCACAAATCTAAGGCATCAATGTAAGCTGGAAAACTCTGTAGTATCAGTTACATTTGTTTTCATACTTCCTCTGTATTTTGTTTGCTTATTTTTTGTAAATCAATGTGCCTGTCTCTCTGTTGAGTGACAGGTGTTATATGTGGTGTCAAACAGTTTTCCAGGTTCTGGTGAATTCTAGTATCTTGGTGGATACTTTTTCTCCTTTCTGGGGAGAAAATTAGCCATTATGTATTTCCTTAATAAGTGGGCTACCCTTGCCTCTAGATTCAGAGAAGTATCTGCCTGTTGTGTGTAGGTGCTGCTTGCTTTTTTTGAAACAGTGAGAATCGTTTGGGTGCTCGTTGGGAAGCAGCTATTTGAGCTTCTTCATGATCATAATGGAAGGGGTCATTCACTTCTGATATGTTTTTAAATAATAAATGTCTGTCCTGGATAAAACACTTGCATGCAAATTTCAGATTTGTGACCTAGTTTTTTTATTTATGTTGCTTTTCAGTGGGATAAATCTGCATTGCCCAAGAACAATCAGATTCATTTCCTTACCAAAATGAACCACATAGTTTTTGGAATAGCCTTTTAGGAAACTAAGCTTTAAATTAATAAAAGAATGGGGTCCCTTCTTAAGTATCTTTGAAGTTCTTACATTTAAACCAGATGGAAAAAAAAAAAAAGTAGTAATACTGCACATGAATACCAGATGCATATAGATAACTACACATAAGCAGCAGACATTCGGACACAACAAAGGTAGAAGTTTCAGTTTTCTGAGTGGATGGCTTAAGTAATGTGTTACATGAGCATTGCATGTCTGGATTACATGCTTCTTGTATGAAGTTTGCCTAAGGAAGTACTTAAAAAATGCAAGCAAATTTTTGCATTTGTCTTAGAAGCTTCTTTGAAAGGCTAGATTTTTTTTATTGCAGCACACAAGCAATTATGTTGCAGAGTTTGTGGATTCTGTTTTAACTTGGCTATTTGTTGGATCGTGAAGAGGTCATCAAGATGCCATTTTTACAACTTACTTATTGAACAGCTAAGCTTCAGTTTCTTTGGGTTGTTGTATAGTAGTTTTGTCATTGAGAACACTAATAATAAAAGGTAAACTAGTCAGGATGAATACAAAAATACTGTTTTTTTTTTTTTGTTTGTTTGTTTTTTTCCCCTTCAAATCAGTGCTTTCTGGAGAGTTCAGAAGCAGAATAAGCATTTATTACAAAGTTTCTTGGTGACATCAATTACTCTAACAAGCTGCCCTATTATGAAAAGTAAAGAGGACTTCCAGACTGAAACCAAATAGCAAAGAAGCATTTGCACGAGTTCTAGCATTTTCCTGACATTTTAGATTTTTTCTGATGTTAGAACTTCTAAATGTAACTTCCAGACTCTGAAGTACAAAGAAAGAATCATATTGGAATTAGGGAAAATTCAGTCCTGCGAATAGACGAAAGATGAGGTGAGAGGAAATAATAAACAAAGCACTGAAAGGGAAAAGCACATTATAGATGGTTTATGCTTTAAACCATTGGCTGTCTTAAAGATTTACTGTTGGGTTTTAAAGTCACTAAAATCGTATGCAAGCCTGGCATCTATTTATTAGTACAAGCTATGATCAGTCATTTCTCATCATATTTAAGTGTTCTTCCTTTTAGCTGTATGTGACTTGAAATATAAAGATGTAAAAGCTATTTAGTTTTAAAAGATTATGTTAATTGCAATCTGCACGTAGTACTGCTGTTGTCTTTATGTCAGTGTGAATTTGTTTTGTAAATATCCTTGTTACAGTTTTTCCCTTTTCTTCTTAGCTGTGGATCAGTTGAATGCCTTGTTCTATTATTAAAAAAAGGAGCAAACCCAAACTATCAGGACATCTCAGGATGCACACCTCTCCATTTAGCAGCAAGGAATGGGTAAGAAAAATGTTATAAAAACTTTAAGTGTTGCATGTAATGCTGCCATGATGTTGGAGCATGCCTTCTAGTTGCTTTTTGAGAAAATGTCAGGTCTTATGTTGGCTTTTGAAAGATTGTTTTCTCCTTCCTTGTGGAAAAATAACTTTAGCCTGAATAGTCTGAGTCTCCCAGTTATATAGTTGTTATTTTGAAGGTAAAGCTTTGCAGTGCTAAAGATAAAGCTGTTCCAACTCTGATGGTAATGTTGGCTTTCTCTCTTCAGTTGTTACTGACATTTCTGAAAGTTTGCTTTAGGTAGCACATGCCATTTTTTTTCAGTAAAACTTCTCAAACTTACCAATCTTTTAAAATATTTCTTAATCTTGTATTGTCTTATTTCTCAAACTGTATCACATGAAAACACACAGCTGATTATGGTAATAGTTTTTTTTTTGAGAAAGAGAAATGTGAGAAAAGGTGCAAGAAGTACTGAATAAAAAGAAATGAGAATAAACTGTTGTGGCTAAAGCACTTAGAGTATTAGAGAGCAGTAAAAGACCAGCAAAACATGAAGGAGGAAAAACACTCCTGCTTTGATTAAGGCTTTTTTTTTGTACTTGCAAAAAATGCATGCGGTGTTACAATGAGCATCTTATTAAATAATGATTTAAAGTGATTTACTATAAATATGTTCACTGAAGTGTACAGATGATGACTGGCTTTATGGATTTCCGTTAGCTCCAGCATCTTGTCTCGAGAATGTAATTCGTGCTGAATGGAAGCTGTTAGAGTGATAGTTATTTGTAGCTTTCCAACAAAAACATTCAGCTACACAGTTGCTTTTTGTCCCTTGTTGCCGTGTCACATATGTGAATCTCTAGTGCTATTAATGATGATTTCTCTCTTTCAGGTGCTCAGTACCATACTCTTTGTGAATTAAAACTTTCTGCTATTGTTTTTTAAATTGTTAACTAGAGTGAGTGGAGCTTAAGAAGATGACTTTGCCCTGCTTAATTTTAATGTACTGTCTTGTTTATAGCCAGAAAAAATGCATGAGCAAGCTGCTGGAATACAGTGCAGATGTCAACATTTGTAATAACGAAGGTTTGACTGCAGTAAGTGCTGTTAATTCTCATGGTGAACTTAAAATAAATGCAGACTTTGAAGATCCTGATTCCTTATGCTTCTGCCATCTAACTTGTAACTAGATTAAACCGCTGTGTCCAGTGCTCTTAAGAATCAAAGATGTAACTGAAATACTGAAGTATTTGATATTCAGAGCTTCTGCTGTGAAAATGTTGTCAATTATGCAGTTAGATTTAAAATTTTACTTATCAAATATTCACATAGTTGCTTAAGGAAATATATCATTGTTTTGTACTTAGATTCATTGGTTGGCTGTCAATGGGCGGACAGAATTGCTTCATGATCTTGTGCAGCATGTCAGTAACGTAGATGTTGAAGATGCAATGGGACAGACAGCCCTTCATGTAGCTTGTCAAAATGGGCACAAGACAGTAAGTTTTTAAACTTCAGTAAGTTATTACAGGCATGAAGAATTGCATAATGCTTAAGTGTTATTGCATGTTTTTTTTTTTAAGCTTCAGGCCAGTCGTGCATGAAATGATGGTGAAATGTGGCAACTCTCTGGTTTGTCTTAATATTGACTCCATGCTCTTCTCATAGAGATATTTGGTGTTGCTGTTTTTGAGATTTCAAGTGACTTCCTCTATATACTCTCTTATGTTCTGTATTATTGTTGCCTTGTTGATAGCAGGTTTTGATGTGATTTTAAAACAAGGAAGGTGTTCTTTCTTGTTACTTTGTAACAATTCATAATTGTATCAGCTAATGGCTATTAAAAACTTTTGACATCTGAAATGGTCTTAATTTACCCTGAATAAAACGTGCATGAAGTTGAATCAGATATATGTTTAAAATTAGGAGTAAGCATTTATGGACTCTTCATATGTTGACCTACATGAATGTAATTTTAGGCATGGTCTTGCATTATGTCTGAATATGTGCTCTTAGAGTACAAGTCTAGATGCTGTTTGTGCTTGAAGTGCATCACAGTAGTAGTAGAGGAGTGATCTTGAGTTATACAGATTGTCTTCAAGACTACTTATGGTTTGAAAAATTATCTTCCTACACAGCTCCTTCCTGTTGTCATTGTCAGATCTTGACTTTGGAGATGAAATTTTGCAGAATTAATATCTATAGATTTGTTTGCTCACATGAACAGAATACAGTAAAAGTTGTTTGAATATCAACTCAGTATCTTAACATTTTAAATTATGCCTACATATATACTTTTACTTTTGTGTGTGCTTAAAACTTAACCTTGTGATAAGCAGTCCTCAAATTGAGGTTTGCTTCTGTATTAAAACAAACCCAAAAACATCTGTTTGTAATTCCAGGGGTCTGAAGTTCAGTAAGAAGTGTTGTTATTAGATCAGGAAGATCTATGACTTCCGACAAGCATGGTTCTCTATCTAGTATTCAGAAATTTTGTTTTTGAGATTCATTACTGGAAATTAAATCCTTCAGCGTAATTAGATATGTATGATGCTGACTAGTTCTAAGCCTTTACACTTGTCTGCTGCTGTCTCTCTAATGTTAGTATTTTTTTTCTGTTACAGACAGTGCAGTGCTTGCTGGACAGTGGTGCAGATATAAATAGGCCCAATGTGTCAGGAGCAACTCCACTCTATTTTGCTTGCAGGTATATATTCCTATGGTTTAAATATCATACTAAAAGTATATATATATATATATTTTTTTCTAATCAGTAACAGTGATGGGAAGGCACAAAAATTAGGAAACATAAAAACTGACTTACATTTAATCTTTCCTCATGTTTGAATGTAGTTTGGTGTCTTATCTAAATGTTTGCCCTAGTTCTTCAGACTTTTATACCTCTTTGTAACAGACATATTAAACAAATAGCTGTGCATGTTACAGTGAGAATCAATGACTTATGAAGACATCCATCAACATAGTTTATTTTGATGAATATTTTTCTCTTTCCTGTGACTATTTAAAACCTGTGTATTTTATTCTTATAATTCCAGTAGCTCTTTGTACTGGGTCAGTATTCTGTGCTTCCAGCTCTTGTGGATAGCTAAGCACTGATAACTTTCCCAGGACATCTGTAAATGCAGTCTGCCAGGCAGATCACTTTTGTGCCATTTTCGAGATACCATTGAAGTTGATTTTTTTTTCCTAATGTGAGAATACCCCACATGTTGAGGCGTAGGAGTAATTATGCTAATGATAGCTATGTTAATAACTTTGTAGAAGTTCAAGTTTAATAAAGCAGTTTTGACTATTTGTTAATGTGTGCTACGGTGTTATAATGTATGCTGTTCAGCTTTATTTCAAAATTGTATGATAAATGACTTCTTGTTGGACCATTTTTGTTGTTATTTTGTTTGAAATTCTGTAATCCTTAGCCTATGACTGTAGGATAAATAGTTCACTTATGATTAATAAAAACAAAAGGAGAAGTGGTGGCCTGCTAAGAATTACATTGTGGGAGTCTTAGTTTCTGGAGCTTTGGAGGTAGTCCCTGGGCAATTGATAAGTAAGCAGAGAATAAGGAAGTAAAGAATAAATATCTGCTAGCTATTGGCACTCACTTTAAAAGATGTAACCAATTTTGTTTCAGCTTGGAGTTTTTCCATGGGAAGGGAATGCATTGTGAATCCATTGTGATAGTCTTTTAGAAACAAACAATTGGGGCAACTGGAAGGGTAGGCTGGACAGAATGCATTGTGGAAGCAAGCACGTCTCATTGTCAAAAGTGCCAACTGATGGTGTGACAGCCAGGGAGAAAGTTAACTGAGGACAGACAGGGTGAACAGAATGCAGTAGCAGTGTCTGGTAATGGCTGGAGAAAGGGTATGACTGCTCAAAGTCTGACTTGGATATCCCTGTTTTTAAAGGCGCAGAGACTTACAGTGAAGAGGTCCTTCATAAGGCAGTTAGTCTTAGCTCCTACATGAGATCTGGTAGCTGACTGTGTGTTTATGTTAGGTCCAAGTCTGGTACATTAGTTTAACCTGTTGGTTTCCTGGTCTGCAAAGACATGGAGGAGGCGAACTCAGCTGGAGATTATTGAGATGGCTAGTTTGTGACCTGAAATGTCATTGGATGACCTGTATATGTAGCCTAAGTTACTACATCTTTTGTTATGGTCATTAAATACTTCTGTATAACATTTTTGTCAGTATATGCAATAAATATTCTTGAAGGCAGCTGTCTATTGGGCTTCCAGAGTTTTTAATTAAATCACCATGTAATCGCTGGTACTCAATTTTTCATTTTTTTTCAGGGAAAAGAGTTTTGGTGCAACTAGATAATATATTAGTTCAATAACTTTTGTTTTTTTTTTTTTTTCCCTAAGTCTATTGTGAGCGAAGAACTAATGTAGCAAAAAGACTTTCTCTGTGAAGTTGTCCAGGGTGCAGGAAATGCAGCTCATAAATACTTACTGGGCTAGACAAGGATGGTTCATTTCTGAATGATGAGGATGAATCTGGTTGTGTAAATGGGCCATACCTAATTTTTCTCTGGGCTTCTATAGTGATTTGGAAGGGTAGTGGTGGGGTGTGTGAGTGTTATCTTCTGTCTCATGTTTCTTCTTAGTTTCTTATTACATAGTATTAGTTCCCTCCTAATTTGTTGTTGACTGTGTTTGTTAGGTATAATAAAACTCAACTCATAATAAAGCATAACTGCTGTGTAACTCTTTCTTCTTTTGGATAGCCATGGTCAGAGAGACACTGCACAGATTCTTTTGATGAGAGGAGCCAAGTATTTACCAGACAAAAATGGCATTACTCCACTGGATCTCTGTGTACAGGTATTGTTGCCAATACCTTTTTTTTTTTTTTTTTTTTCCCCAAAGAACTGTCCCTTGCTAACAGTATTAATTGCTCAGTGTTGCTCAGTCTTTTTAATTTCTAGGCCAAAGAAGAATGGTAGCTCTTCAGCAAAACAGAATTGCAACATATACATGTGTGTGTGTGTATATATATATATGTATATATATGTATGTATATTCAATGGAGCTGAAGGTTTTGTTTGCAAATTTCCAGTTTGTGCCCTATGCAAATGTTTGTAATGGGGATCTCATTACCCATCTTTGCAAGGTAGGAGCTCACAAGAACCATAAGAGTTTGCAGAAATCCATTTGACTAGGAAGTTTGGAATCTTTGTCTAATGGTAATAGACTGCTTCGGTTTTTGTGTGCTCAGCTCTTAACAAATAAGAGGTCAAGGCACTCAGAAGTTATGCTGACTCTCAAAGGCTTTCCAAATGCAATATCTGGATGATGAACAAAGAACAAAGCTTTAAAGTCTCATGTATTTTCAACTGCTGTACAATTTGTGTTTGGTAAAGTATTATTTATTCTGCTTGCTGGTGTGGCTTTTCTTGATCTGTGAATACTTACATAATTTTCTGTAGGATCAAGCTGAGGATACTGTGTAAATAAATGAAGGGAAGGAAGATTTTGAACCCTTTGCCTATAATCAGAAGACTGGAAAACTATCAACTGGAAAATAAAATTTACTGAACTTAGGGGAGACACCATTATTACCGTTGTGAATGTAATTATTTTGGTGGGATCAAGTTTTAAGATCAGAATTTTATGCTGTACTATAGAAGATGAAAATCAATCTCAGATTATTCTGAAGAGTCCTCATGTGCTGAAGACCTGCAGTTGAAGTAGCTATGTCCACATGGTAATGACTGCTGTCTTCAGCACCTGTGGGATATTTTTGGAATAACTAATCCTGCAAAACTTATCTCATAGGTGATCTGTGAAAAGTCTTAAGCAAGTTAGGCTATTTGTAGCATTTCTTTTTGGACAGGAGAAATTCTAATCAGTCCTCAGTTCTGCTCTACTGTTTTGTGAGATTTTTCTTAAAAAAATTTTTTTTTTTTTTTTTTTTAGCCTTCCCTTAGAAAAATAGAAATAATGTACCTTTGTTAAAGACTTTGGATTAATTCAGAGTCTTGGTTATGCTGTCATGTGTAAGGAAATTAATTGCATGTTGATGGTGGTACTTCATACATTTGTGTCTGTTTTCAAGGCTTAAGGAATTTTGGCATTGAACTATTCTGTAAAATCTCTTATTTGAGTGTGATGTGTGAGTCAACTGTAGGATCTCTGATTCATATTACCATTGGGAAGGCTTAAGTTGGAAGTAAAGCAGTGGGAAGTCAGCAAATCCTCAAAAAGTGTGTTGTAGACAAAGATATCTGATGAGCAGGAAGTAGATCCAATTGTATTTCATTTTAAAGTGATCTTTTTCTAATGGGGTCTCTAGAAAATAGTAAGGGTTGTTTTGGAGGAGATCACTTGCTCATGCCTTCTGTAACCTGAAGCTTTAAAAGCAATGCAAGACATCAAAAATAAATGAAGTATATTGAATGTGCCTGAAAACTGCTCAGGAGTAATAGTTCACTATACTGTCTTACTGCTGTCTTTTCTGTGCAGCTCAGAAGTAGATATTTTCATCGTTATGGCAGAATGACTTACTGTAAAACCACAGTCTATTTGATTTTGAGGCTTCTTACATCCACAAACCTGTAAGAAAGTGTAGCAGTATATACTTAATAATACTATTCTTATTTCTTTTTTTTTTATTAGAGTTTCAAATTTCTGCTTTAGTTTTCAGATTTACAATCCTTAAGGAAGTAGAGGGATGAACACTGCTTCAAAATTGTTTTTTTTTCCTTCTTAAGTTGTGAGTAGTGACACCTGGTGTTTGCTATTTTGTAGGGATGATAATACTGCATTTGAGATCCTCTAGACAAGACAAGCTGCTGAGTAAAAAAGGAGAAAACAAAATATATTCTTTCCTTTTGCATTAATGGTTTTATTCTTTGATTATGGATTAGATTTTCAAAGTAGGTTTGTGCTTTAGGAGGGCTAGATTATGAATATTTATATTTCTTGCTAGTGTGGTATAACCTTGCTTTTAAAGAGATGATGTTCATTAATTCTTGAGGATTAAGAATGGTTTTGATTTTAATACTTAAGTTCTTGGCAGTAGGAGCAATTAGTCAATCTGTTAAATGAATCTCCTATCACTGAAGTGCATTCTAAACTGTCGTGTACAGAGAAGGATCCTCTGGAGTTACAGCTTTTAATAAAGTACATCTTTCCAGTTTGTGATATCTATTCAGCTACTAGGTGTCCTTTTAAAGTTGCAGCTGTGTTGAATAAGATTTGATAGAAACAAACCACAAATTCAAGTTCTGTTCTTTCCCAGTAACAAAGCTGAGAAAAATGTTAAGCTGGTTAACACTGTTGATCTGGGGCACATGTGGAATCATACATGTGTATTCATTTTGAAGTTAAATGATCTTTCTGTGTGTTTATCCTATTTTTTTAGTTTAGCAAATCAGATCTGTACCTTATGAAACTCTGGGGAAAGATTTGTTTCAAAGGATTAAATTCTGGGTGTTCTTAGGTGAATTGGTGTCATCGGTCAGCAGGGAAGCTAAATATTGCACTGTATTTAATATCTTTGGTGAATTGCTGGGAAAGAGTTGTTTAAGTGTAAGCTAACTTTGATTTTCCAGTTAGGAGAACTTATCCACACTTTTTAAAAAAAAAAAAATGTTTGATCTAATATACTGAAATAACTTGATTCTGTCTTCTCCCAAACATTTAGTGATGTCTAATGTTGATTCTTTATTGACTTTGAGTTTATTTTAGGACTGGATTTCTGTAGTCGGTGTTTCTTTCAATGCCTATATTAGGGTAAGGCCCAATTTGAGTACTACTTTTAATTAAAAATTGTTTTGAACTACTGCTTTTTAGGGTGGATATGGAGAGACTTGTGAAGTCTTAATACAGTACCATCCTCGACTTTTCCAGACAATAATTCAAATGACTCAGAATGAAGATCTACGGGAAAACATGGTAATATGGTATTATGTTTTGTAGATCTAGCAGGGGAGTGTTAGTATGGGTTATTTTTCTTCTCTCCCAACTTAGATAATTTTGTTTTAATATTTTGCTTACTTGAAAGTAACTGCAAACAATCTTGCAGATTTTAAGACTAAAAAGAAAAATAGTTTTAGTAAAGTATTGACTGCCACTTCACTGAACTTGGTTTACTAGATTTCGGAAGTTTTTGTTATTTTCTGTAATCCCATACTTCCACTACAAGGTTGAGGACATCGACGTCTAAGTCTCTATAGAAACAGTGCTCAAATTTCTGAAACAGTGTAGAGTTTTATAAAGTAAAATGATACAGAGATGAGAATTCTCAGGGTGCATTTTAGAAACATGGGGAGATGGAGTAGATGACTTCAAATAAAAGAGAATGTTAAAGGATTAAAACCATGGAACAAAAATGACTCCACAGAAAGGTAAATGACAAAGCACACTATCATGTATTGCAGAAGTGAAGACGATAAGCAAGGAAAATGGGTGTTTCATCCAAGCAATTGTGGCAGTGTGTGTGAAGTCAGATCTGAATGGAAGTCCATGTAAAATATATTAGATTGATTCATTGTATAGTTATATTTCTTGTAAAAAAAAAAAAAAAAAAAAAAAAAAAAAAAAAAAAAGTATATTTAAAAAAAAATGAAACCTTAGGTATGGTTTTCTACAACCAAGTTCAAACTATTCTGCCCAGGGACTTGGATAATGACCAGTTCATATTATCTGAAAGTGGTGACGTGAAGAGTTAGAAGTCAAGACTCACGTTTTAAACATTCTTCACAAACTGGAAAAAATATTGATAAGCTGCAGGGTGAAAGAATGGATTTCACTAGGGATAAGTACTGTGCTCCTGTGCTTACGTAGGAACAATCAGTGCTGAAATAGATTATGGGAAGCTGCTGCCTGTGGAGCAGCTCTGTAGGAAAGGATCTGATGTTTGTTGTAGGCTACAAGTTGTGCTGACGCATTGGCATCATGTTTTTCATTTTCTTGAGAGTGAGGAAGAAGGAAGGAACTTCTGTTTCCTTTAAGATGCACAAAGAAAGCAGTCCTGCTGCACAAGTTGTCTTTTGCTGAAATATTGCATCCAGCTTTGGAAACTGTGTTCAGAGAAAGATGAAGACCCCTAAGAATTTAAAGAAAATAATAAACACAAGAAATGACTGCTATAAAAAGATTGAAAGAGTTACAGTTATGTAGCATAAAGAAGTTTGGGATAGGAAGAGTCTTGCTGACTGTCTTAAATTTGTAGAAGGCTGTTGAATAATTTTTTTACAGTAAGAAATATTTTGACTTAGATATTTGTAGCTAGTGATTCAACTTAGCACTGAGAAAAGCTTTCACATAGTTAAGGTTAGTGCAGTATTAGAAAAGAACTTGATGAAGCTGCCTCCAGACATCTAAGTTTAAAAACAAACCAGGCAAATTAAACAAACTATTTTGGATCACAGATTCGACAAGTAGCTCTTATCATGGGATCAGAGTGTTGGGCTAGATTGCCTTTGTGAGGTTCCTTTTCTTTTTGCCTTCCTGCAGTTCTGTGAGAAGGATTACTGAGCTTTCTGAAAGTGGGAGTGACAGAAGTGAAGTAAATGTGAAGATTGTAGGAATGCATGATGAATGGAGAGTCACTGGAGAGTTAATTCCTCTGTGAGAAAATGCCTAGGATAGAGAGGTGTACAACAGAGGAGGTAATAGAATGTTAACTAAGGTTAGATTAATTGTTCAACATCAGAGGCATGTATGTTAATGTTTCTAGGAATTAGAGTTAGACTGTGTAATAGTATTCTAAATTAAACTTTGGTCTGATACTCTATGCAATCTCTTTTGTTTTAATGAACCCAGTTGCGACAAGTTCTGGAACATTTGTCTCAGCAGAGTGAAAGCCAGTATCTTAAAATCCTGACAAGTCTTGCTGAAGTTGCTACAACTAATGGTCACAAACTACTTAGGTAAGTGTGAGAGGATTATAAATTGGTTGATAAGCTACCAGGTAGTTCTGGCCACTTAATAGATTTGATAATCTAAACCATCTGATGTTGGGCACATGCTGGAGTAAATGGATCTCATATCTAATTCTGTATAACAGGACCAACTTAGATCACTGTCTTCACAAGGATTTAATTAGAAAAATGTATAGCTGTTAGGACCAGGAAGGTTGAGTTGCAGAGAGGTGAAATTTTTTTAAAAAAATAAGTTTGACACAGCTATGTCAGCTTTAGAAAGGGAAACTTTTTAGTCAGCCATCATTATTAATTTCCAGCCACTCTTCTTTTTTCCTCACAACTTTACTTTCTGCATGCTTTCCTGGGATGCCTGAGAAGAATTTTGGTTTTTTTTCAGGCACTTGAATCATGCCTGCTGGCTCTGGTTGTCTTCCACGGTTACTAATATATGTATGAAAGCACCTGTACTGCACCAAAGCAAAACTAGCTTCAACAGTGCGGTATCTCAGCAGTGCAAGTAGCAGTTAGTTGAAGAAGCATGTAAAATAGGCAAGTGTGTTTTCCCAGTATGCTTTACTAATTTTTGTGGCATCTGTTAAAGGCAGTTTGTGCAAAACACCTCATCTGTAATGTGTTGGAACTTCAAATGTGTTTAATGTAACTTAAGCTGACAATTTTGCATTTCTATTTGATTTATTACTGTTATTGCTCCATTATATTGAGCAACATTTTCTCAGTATGGCTGTAGAAACAGACTGTAGGAACAGCTTGTACACGTCACAGAATATGAGCTGCTATGTGCTTCTGTAGTTGCTGAATGTGAATTGTCTAGCTCAGGCTGAAGACAAATTAGAAGCATTCTGCTGCATGGGCTGGCATTTCTGGATATGCCTGTACTGAGGGTGTCCTGCAGGCTCTTGCTGACCCACTTTTTTTTTTTTTTTTGGTATATCGTCACAAGCGATATGGAATTATTTTTTTATTACAAGATATAAATTTCAAAAACTGGATTCAATTTGTGCTTCAACTAAGCATTTCTCAGTTGCTCTTAGCATTAACATAATGAAGCTGGAGGTACTACTTGGTGCAGGCAGCCTTCTCAGCTAGGGCCTCTCTCTTCTCTCTCTTTCTTCTATCAAACTGTATGGAAAATGTAATCCATCTATTTAAACTTGTGTGTCTGAGCCAGTAACATTGGAGTATTAGTTTCCTGGGCAGTAACCTGCAGACCATTGCTGTTGGGTTTGTTCATTGTTTAGTCTGGAATAATGTGAAGTAAATTTTTGTAATGCTTCTAGCAGGTAGCCTGGAGTGACCGTGGATATGGACTTCTGCCTTTGAACACCCACAGTGATCTTGTTAAAATAGCTTTCCCTCCATTGCCCATTTCCTCTTTCCAAGAAATAACTGGAATGATTTGGTCTTGCTGGTGTAGATTGAGCTTAGCAAAATGTTTACAAATATGCTAGTAAACTATCGAAAGCACTTAAAGATTTTTCTGCTTCAGTGAGTCCTCTTTCTAAAGACAGAGAGATTTAAAATGAAATTTTCACCAAGAAAACACCATTGCTGATGATAAACCTGAATTTACATGTTTATTTTTGCCCTACTTCTTGAATTAGCCTATTGTATTCAGCAATTCTTTTGGCCTGTAAGTAAAGATTTTCTAAATACTGATTTTCAGCTGTGACCAAAACCTTTGGTAATGGTCCAAATAAGGCCAATTAGTCAAGAAATTTATGTTACCAAATTGAAAATTAAACTTTCTCATTCTTGCCATGTTTACCGTTGTATTCCTTTCTTATCTTTATTGAAAGATAATTGATTTATTGAAAGTTTAAATCAGAATCATGGCAGGAAAGTTGTGCTTTCTGTACTAGTTGTGTAGTAGTTTCCTTAAGTAGGTGTGTGGGTGTATATTTTTTTTTCTTATTAACGCCTAACTGGTAGTCATTAAAATGTTACGCTGTAAACAGTGTCTTCTTATTTTTGCTTTTTTTTTTCAAAACCCATACTGTAGGGGGAAGCAAAGTGAAAGCAAACCTTCATGGTGAAGGTACTGTGATGCTACAGTTGTCCTCAGCATTGTTCCAACAATATTATGTATAACTAATGTTAGAAATTCTTAATACCGTTTAAACTTGAGTGCTACGTTATATGTCTAATTCTGTTGTGCATGTTTCAGTGGGATTTTTTTCATTTTTAAAGTTTGAGTTGCTTTAAAAAGTTTCCCTGCCGAGCACTGAGGAAAGAGCTTTATTCAGAAGTATAATTAGTTGCTTAAGTTTAGGTAGATTGTGAATTAGCAGATTAGTAATTGCATCAGATATATGCATCCTCTATGGGTGTCAGGGTTCTGGTGCATATTGATCTTATAGTCAGAAAACAAGTACTTCAAGGATAAAACTGAATATATACCTCCTTATAAATATGCATGTGTATCATAGAATGGTTTAGGTTGGAAAGGACCTTTAAGAGTATCTAGTTCCAACCCCCTGTTGTAGGCAGGGACATTTCCCACTGAATCATGTTGCCCATGGCCCATCCAACCTGGCTCTGAACACTTACGGGGGTGGAACATCCACAACTTCTCTGGGCACCATGTTCCAATGCCTCACTGCCCTCTTCCAAGTATTTAACTTAAATCTCCCCTCTTTTAGTTTAAAGTATTACCCCTTGCCCAGTTGGTACACTCCCCAATAAAGAGTCCCTCCCTGTCTTCCCAGTAGGTCCTTTTTAAGTACTGGAAGGCTGTAATGAGGAGCCTTCTCTTCTCCAGGCTGAACATCACCCTTCTTCTTATGAGAGGGGCTTTGGCCCTCTGAACATCTTTGTTGGAGTGAGTCCAGAGTAGGGCAACAAGTCCATGTCCAGCTGATGTTGGGGCCAGGCCTGGATGCAGTACTTCAGGTGGGTCTCACAAGGTCACGTTGGGGGGACAGTCGCCTCCCTTGTCCTGCTGACTACCCCTCTTTTGATGAAACCCAGGCTACAGCTGGCTTTCTAGGCTGCAAGCACACATTGCTGGCTCATGTCAAACTTTTCATCCACTAGCACCACCAAATCTTTTTCCAAAGTGCTGCTTTCCGAACTGTGTAGATTTCAGTAGAAGAAATTTTAATTTCTTGCAGTTTTGTGTGTGTGTGTGTTCAGGATTAACAAATTCTTACCTCTTGGAATTTTAAACAAAAGTTAAAAAAAAAAAAAAAAAAAAAAAAAGTTTGAGTAAGAGTATTCCACTTGTGCACAAACTCATGAGTGTCTGTAATTCACACTGTGTTTGTGGTGAAGGAGTTCTTATTGATTTCAGTGTTGGCCAGTTAATAAGGCATAAAACTTGTATATATTAAATAAATAAGTGAAAACCCAATGCTCTTATGTTGTATCTTCTAGGTCACTTGTTTTCCCTTTAAAAAACAGTGACATTTTTCATCCTGACCCCTTAGCTGATTAAGATAATTAGTTCACATTTAGGACAGGACTTAGGTTATGGATGACCTGTGATGGTAAATCTGATTAATTATTACAATTTTACCATTATATGTGATTCTCTTTTGGAATGAAAAATGTTTTCAACTGATTAACCCAATTTGTTTCGTACACTGAGATCTTTACTGTAGTAAGCTGGATTTCTTACCTGGGACCTGTGCAGGAAATAAAAGTTCAAATATAAGACAAGGACTTTTTTTTTTTTTTTTCAGTGTGTGTCAGACCTTAACATTAGATTGCTTACTCCTTAATATACTACTTTGTTTCATCTCGGAAAAGAAACTTAAATATTCCATTTTTTCCCTCAGCTTGTCAAGTAATTATGAAGCTCAAATGAAGAGTCTCTTGAGGATCGTGAGAATATTTTGCCATGTCTTTCGCATTGGCCCATCCTCTCCCAGTAATGGAAATGACATGGGCTACAATGGAAATAAAACTCCAAGAAGTCAGGTGTTCAAGGTCAGAAAAGTATATGATGTTGTTAGGAAGATAGACGTTAAAGAGATGAATTTCACAAAGCATGCATTCATTAATCAGACATCTCATGAACAGGAAGTAAGTTTGGTTGATGTCCCTATCCCTTCTTAAGTTAATCCTGACTCTTTCCTTTTGTTTAGTTGTTTTTTTTTCCACTGAATTCATTTAAACACTAATGCACATTTCACTTTATTATTTATGTTTATTTCTTGTTTGATTTTGATGTTTTATTTATTAGATGTTAAATATTTAATTCTTAACTGGTTTTGGTGAACTTGGTTTTATTATAAACATTTTATTTAAGAATGTAGTGATCTCAAAATGTGGTAATATTAAGCACTGTAAAAGAGATTGTATTAATGTTGCTTCAAAATTAGGAGTTCTTAATTTCTAATCTGTGTATTGTTTTCACTCTGATCATGATTTTTTTTTTACCCAAGTTATTGAATTTTATTATTATATGCTTTACAATGTACAGCTTACTATTTCCCTGGAAAGGTTTTTGATTTATAGGTGCTTTCAGAAATGTGCTTTAGGCTCTGGCCATTTAGGTGTTTAATTTCTAAAGTTTTTTTTTCTTGAATACTTGTTTGTGAGGAATCCTGTCAAAGATTGTATCTTTACTTTCTGTAAAGCAGTCTCAGTTTCCTGCATGCCACTGCATTGGGAGTATAACTGATGACCTATTCAGAGCACCTAAAGAATAACAGCTGAAAGATAGTCTTTTTTTTTTTTTTTCTTTTCTAATTTCTCCTTCCATCCTCTTGATGGCACAGTTCATATCACCAGATTTAGAAGCCAATGATTAAATGATGAGAATATTCCTTAACCTTCACATTTCTATCAGGTGTTCTAAAAGTGGGGTATTTTGAAATTACTGCTTTTTCTTTTGTGATCTGATATGTTTTTTAGATTACTTCTAGTGAATTTTAAAGAGCTGTGTTAATAAGTTCAGGAAAGATGATACTAATTACAGCTATGTTGAGTTATTTAGCTTAATTTTTGATTGTTTTCTTTTCTCAGAACGAAGATTAACATTAGAATATTTGAAAAACAAACGGCACTTTTTTTAATAAGAAAATAGTTTTAATAACAAATTCATTTGTATCATTAATATAAGACTAGAGCTTGAGTGAAAAGTACTTGTGCAAAATGTATGCAGTGTAATATTGGTCCTTTAGGGTTATTCGTTAAAACATGTTGAACTAAATTGGCACTTTGTGAATTTAACCACGTGTTCATTCCATTTCAAAAAATCAAAGCATTACCCAAATCACAAGAATAATTTTATTAAAGACACCATTTTTTATTGCTTTCATTGAAAGCTTGTTTAAATGTACCAGATCAAACAACAAGCAGGTGATGCTAAACACAGTTAATACAGAAATACTTGTGAGAAGGTTGGACTGATACTGTTACCTTTCTTCTTTTTTTCCTGGGAGTAGCTTAACTTTACATTTTGTTCTGGCTTATAGACTACAATAGAAAGAACTTTCTCTTCAACTGGAGATCATTTCAAAACTCATTATTAAAAAAAAATAAAAATAAAATTAAAATACCACAATTTGTGAAGGAAGCTGTATTTCAGCAAAGTTACTTACCTGTGTGGCCATACCAATTTATGTGCTGGCGGAATTGTTTCTCCATTTGGCTTGTAGATTAGTCTTGTGCAGCAGACAAATACTACACAACTGGCACAGCTGTCCCAGAAAATGCCAGTAATTCTGACTTCTGTAAAAAAAAATAAAAAATAATAAAAAAAAAAAATATATATATATATATATATATATAATAATTTAATGTTGTTTTAATGAAAGAGAAGAATATATACTATTGTTGAATGAACTAACAAAGCAAAACATTCATGAGGATTTAAAATTTATTATTGTTACTTTTTAATTTATTTTAGAAGTTTTAAAACTTGGGCAGCCCTTCCTTAGAGCCAGTGTTTTCTTTCTCCATGATATTAAATTTTAGAGTAAAAAATGTAAAAATAATTGATGAGAGTTTGTTCTGGTTTAGGAATGGAGTACGCTGTTCTGGCAGTGCAATTTTAATCTTAGTTGCAGTTGGATTAGACTTTTCTGGATGTACAATAACTGGATAGTTACTACAAGATAATTCTAAGTCAGTTGATTGACTTCCCTTTCTCTTCTATTATTATGTTCCCTTTCTATCTTTTTTTGTTATTACTTTGAAAATGTGATGGGACACAACTTTGAAAAGTTGGGGACTGTTTACTCCTTTTCAGGAGAGGGGAAAGCCCCTTGTTATATCTCTATATTATTAGATTGGTAATTGTGGTAGTGGTACTGGAAGAGACCCGGGAGTTGTCTACCTTGATTGGTGCTAGCATCACCAGCACTTTCTTTGAATGCTGTTCATTTGAACAAGACCTATAGATATTGTCTTATTTTACTGTATAGGATGCTAGTTATTTGTCCAGCACTGTCTCAATTTGAGAATGGATTGGGGAACTTCCATTTGGAGAATGTTGTTGCAGTAGCAGTGGCAGCAGTTCTGTCTTATGGCACCCTTGTGAGATACATGGAGAAACAATTTTGGGTGTTGCTGACTTCTTGTTTTTCTTTCTTCTGAACACATTCCCTTTATGTTCAAATAGGTCTGTGCATGATGACTTTTAAAAATATGCTTTATCCAATACAACAAATTAAGAAAAACTTTTTTCTCTTTTTTTCAACGCTGTGTTACAGTTTTCTTATATTAGTGTACTGTTTGAACATACTTTGAAGCATGTCAGAAATTCTTCGTAATTTTGCCACCTGTCATGAATTTTGGATTTTTTTTTTTTTTTTTTTGAAGAGTTATTGTAATCTAGAGTGAAATTGAAAAGGTGAATGTATCTTGATCTGAGGCTGCTGAGGATTGTTATTTCTTGGCAAGAATAAGAAAACCACAGGGCCATCTCTGCTTTACTGAGGTTCCTTTTATGTAATTCACCACAGGCCATCTAGAGAGAATTGTGGTCGCTAGGGGCAAGAAGTTAGTTTCATATGGTACGTAGAACAGTACCAGTACCAGACATGGAGAGCAGACTGGCTTTCTTTCCTTAAATATCTTATTGGAGAAAATGGAAATATTGGAGTTTTTTTTAACAGTAAGCTTCAACAGGAGTTTTTAATACACAGCTTTCATATGGGAGTTAATTTGTTCTGAGAGCATATGGTTATTAGGTATAGTGACAGTGTTCCAAATAATCTAGTCTCCTGATACTCTCTGCTGCAAATAGCCCTTAATATTTAAAGATAGGGTTAGATGTTGAGAATGTACTTTTCAGTACCTGCTAAGTCCTTAAATTCCAAAGTTAGTTAAAAATGTTGATTCAACAGTAATATATGGAAAAGAGAATGTGTGCACCTTTGATTTTTGGAACATTATGGATAGCTTCAGTGAGAAATACCTCCCTGTACTCAGAAAATGTACACTTGTGAAGTGCCCACTTAAACAGCATTAAGGAATGGCATTGTTGGGCCTGATGTTTTTGAAATGGCTGTGAGGGAGCCACAAGTGTCTCAGCTCTTCCCATTCTTTGCTATAGGCCTGCACCTGAGCAGATGTGTAACAATACAATTGTGCCGGGTTTTCATTACATTCGTAGTGAGCAAAGAGTGACTTTGTTCAAATGAAATGCATAGCTTTACAAATTGCTGTGATATCCTACTAATATTACTTTTATTTCAGAAGGGTATTAGTGACCCCTGATCTGAGATATCTTGGATAACTATCAAAATGAGCTGTGTGATCTCATGCTGTGTATAAAACTCAATTTATTAGATGCATGTATCAGTCTGAATCTTTGGCTCTGTTTAGGGCTTGCTCTATCCACCTGTGGGGAGCTTTTTTGACCAGGACCTTAAGAAAGCACTAATAAGCTCTTAGTCTGAAAACTAGAGGTGTGCTTTAGTGTCTTTGGATGCAGCTGTTGGGCAGAGCTGTGCTGTGTAAGAACAGTGAAGCCAAACTGTGTTAAACAGTTCAGTGTTTGACCCTTCTTTAAATTGTTTTACCTTTGTTTCTGTCTCCTCCTTGATTGTTTTCATTCCATATGAAATTTTCTCTTTGTGCTTGTGGCTACAAGTAGAGAATTTTTAGGAATATTTTAGTTTTATGTCTAACATGATTTCTGAAGTATTATTTAGAACTTTTAAATGTGAATGATGTTTATTTGCCTTAATATTAATGATGTGATCATCATATTATCTAAGGTGAACATGGTTTTTTTTTTTTTTTTTTTTTGCATATTTTATTGCAGCCACTGGAACTGCTCTGGCACTCATTAGACGAATGGCTAGTTCTTATAGCCACAGAGCTGATGAAAAACAAAAGGGACTCTGCCAACATTACTTCTATTTTGCTGAAGCAAAAAGGACCAGATCACCAGGATGCTACTCCTACGCCTTCCTTTGCTGCTGCAGGAACAGAGAGCAGAAAAGAGCTATCTGCTGACACAGGGGACTCAAAAACATATGAAGTTGCAGGGAAGCAGGAAGCTTATGCTGATGGCCAGGATGTTATCTCCATGACAGCAAACAGGCTAAGTGCTGTCATTCAAGCATTTTATATGTGCTGCTCCTGTCAGATGCCTCAGGGGTAAGGAGGATACTTTTCATTAACTGAGTTATTACATTTTCAAAATCATATATGCTTTCTTGGAAGAGCGTTGGTGCTGACCAGATGATATTAGTGGCAGTCAAGGGCATACTTCCTGATGCTTTCATTAGTTCAATTATTTGATTTTTTTTTTTTTCCTGCTTTAATGATGCATTTAATGGCACAGCAAATTTTACTTAATGCTTTTGGTAACTTTATCAGAGTGGGTTTCATATTGACTGTCTCTTTTTAATCATGTGGGATACATGCAGGCAATGTAGTTTTGATCTCTTGAAATTTAGCTGTTTCTGCTGTTGGTTCTTAGTGTGAAAATATCCTTAAGTTTAATGTGATTATCCTGCAACAACTATAATTGATCTCAGAAGAAATGCAGACTGTGTATGAAAATGACAGCTGAGGCAGAAGTTTTCAAAAGAAGCCTTTTATCTCAAAATAACACTCACTTGGAATTCTGCCCCAGGTTAGCAAGTATTATTTTGTGTGGAACAGACGTGACATAACTTATGTAAATTAGATACCATCAGTGTCTGGTTTAAAACAAAGTGTGTCCTCTGTAGTTGAGTTCTTAGTCTGTCCAGGCTTGCTTATATCTGTCAAGTAAACTTGCAAGGAAAAATCCTTTGACTCTCCTGAGTGGAGAGTTAAGAAAGTACGGAGATTTGATCCAGGTCCCTGAGAAGTCTTGAAGTGAGGTTCTTTCTAAACTGGAGCATAGGAAGTTCTGCACCAATATGCAAGGGAACTTCTTTACAGTAAGGGTGTCAGAGCACTGGAACAGGCTGTCAAGGGAGGTTGTGGATTCTCCTTCTCTGGAAATATTTGAGACCCACCTGGATGCCTACCTGTGCAGCCTGCTGTAGGGGGGCTGCTTTGCAAAGGGACTGGACCAATGATATCTAAAGGTTCTTTCCAGTCCTTGTGATTCTGTGATAGCTCCTGATTATTCCCTGCTACTGCAAGGATTTTCCTTTCTCTAAATGTAGTGGATCAAAAACTTCCAAGTCAGCCAGTACTTTTTGTCCGGTGTCTCCTCTCTGGGCATTCTGGAAGATGCTCTGAGGATCAACACTTTCAACAAATGCTTTGTATTCTACCTTTTAATTTTACTTAAGAAACTGCTTATAAGCTATTCCCATTGAAATCTCCATTAAAACTTGCTAAGATGCAGTTGTAATAAAGTCTATTTATGACAGCCAAATGAAGAGTAGAAATACTTCTAGAAATAAGTGTATCTTTTTTCCCCTTTGATTTATGCCTATAGCAATATTAAATTTGAGGCTGTCTGTATCCTGCTGACTTGCCTGTGGACCTTGCCCAGTGGTTCTGTTCTTCCACATGTTTTATGCTGGGACTGGGGAAAAACCTTGTGGATACTGTGTAGAATTGAGAGCTGTTATAGAAGCTAGGAGAATCAGAACTGTTTCAGTGATTTATTGGTAACTTGAAGAACTTGGGATGCAGAAAAATAAGGCAGTTTATGCCTGAATCCTGCTTTATTTTTTTTATTTTTTTATTTTTTTAAGAATTTCTCAGATCTACGTAGATGAATGTAAAAATGTGATATTTATTCTACTTTACTAAAATTTTCATGGCAATGGGAATAAATGGTATGTCAATTTTGCTTGCTGATTCCAACAAATGATGTTTTCAGACAGAAAATAATTTTAAATGGCTCTGATTTTAGATTTGAGTGTCTTTTATGTTTAATGAAGGAGAGTAAAAAGAGCTCATAGTTTTCCATTGTTTTTAATGCTCATAAGATAAAAGATGGCATTTCATGCTTTAATGGAAAATTATCTAGTAATGAATTACTGAGTGGAAACAGGGTTAGCACTTGAGCTCTGAAGACATTTGAAGCATTAAGGTTATTTTCATTTGCTCATCACGATTACTTTTCTTCTGTGAATGCTGTTATTGAATCTAGCTGTTCTTTGTCAAAATACTGAAATACAATGTGACAAGTTTTCAGCATCAAAACTGAAGAGTTGAGAGAGTTTTTGTAAGTTACATCTCAATGTGTAAATTGCCATAGAATCTGTGAAGAAAAGACTGTCTTATAGTTGTTCAATAGTCTCAGACCATATCTCAGGCCTAAGATAGTGTTTTTAAACTGTTCATACTTAGCATGGAAGATTTTGTTCACTAGTTTAAATTCTGTAAGAATAAGGGAAAGAATATGGTGAAATTTAGTGAAATTTTAGTGAAATTTAGTGAGGGAAGGAAAATAGCTCAGTTTACATAAAAGAGCTGCTCATTTTTATACAAAATTGATGTTGGGGGCATTGTTATATTCAGACTTTTATTGCTGGAAATCTGTAGTTTTTGACTTGATTGTGTAGTTAATTTTCTTAAGAACTCAGAGTTTTAGTAATTTTTCAGAGATCTTTCAGGATTATTGTCCTTTTTGAAAGCACTGTTTTTCAGTGCCTTTCTCAGATACTGCCTGTGTTAAGACGATTTTATCCTCAATTGCAAATATTGCTCTTGTAGAAACTAAAGGACTCAATAAGTAGTTCTCTTTTCTTGAGAAGTGCGCAACACAGACGTAAACAAGTTTGCACCCACATAAATCCCATGTAAATTCCTCCCACGTTCTCTGAACATATGCAGGAGAAAAAATAAAATTCCATGCTAATGTAGAAGATGCTTGCATGGCAAGTAATTTGGTCTCTTCAAGAACCTATTAAGTTTCACCTTCTCCCCTGTAATTAACGAGTTCATTGTTTGTAGTATTATTTCTTCCTAATTCTTTTCCTCACTTTGTACAGTTTATGAAGTGTGTTCTGGGACTTGTAGCTAATGAACAGGCATATGGAACAATGTGCATTTATGGTATATATAATAATAGTCTTTTTGTACATGCGTTTCTATTGCACTGAAAGTTGGGAGAATTCAACAGAGAAATGTGCGTCTTCGTATTCTTGAATGCTGCTGAGTTTTTTGTTCAATGATTGAGTAGTTAGGAACCAACAGTTTTTATTTGTGTAATGTATTAAAAAATAGAATGCAATAACACACGTAATTCAAATTCTTTTCTGTTTCCTTAAATAATTTCATTAATATCTTATGATTTTCTTTGAACAGGATGACGTCACCTCGTTTTATAGAATTTGTTTGTAAACACGATGATGTCCTTAAGTGTTTTGTTAACCGGTAAGTTTCGAGGAATGTGCAGTTCCTAATTTGTTTGTTTATTTTTATGTCCAATATGGTCCAACCTCATATACTTTTTCTTCTTAAAGAATTGTGTTTTGAGGTTACTGTTTTGACATATGCAGCATGCACACTCTTGGTCTTTTCAAACACGCTTTAGTCCTTCCAGATATGAGAGAATGAATATTAATTATACGGAGTTCAGGCTTAGATGAATTCTTCTGCATTTGTAAACAAACCTTCTGTAAGATTTGGTGAGATTTTGTGAACAAAATATTTTTCACAGAGCAACAGTAATTTTTTTAACAGGCAATTGCCTCCTCTGTTTTTCCAATCCTACTCTTCTGAGGTGAATGCCAACTTTCATGCTTGCTCAAATGTGTTGTATGTAGTGACTTCTGGACACTATCTTAGTGCATTTGATTGCTCTCAGTGTTTTTCAGGCACTGCCCAGCTCATGAGTATGTCTTCTATTTGTATAAAGGATGAGGTAGCTTAAGTCATTTGGAAACAGGCAGTAATGAAAATGTTACAAGAAAGAAAGGTCTGTTGGAACTGTTCTATAGGAGTAATTGCACTGGCTCTTTGAGTAGCCTTAATGTGTCATGAAGTTTTATTAGATCTCTGACTGGTAGACTTCTAACTCAAAGTATTTTTTTCTTTCAGGAATCCCAAAATCATTTTTGATCACTTTCATTTCCTTCTTGAGTGTCCTGAACTAATGTCCAGATTTATGCACATCATAAAAGCTCAGGTAAACACCAAGAGATGTTTTGCTACAATTTCTATGAGTATAAGAGAGTTGGTTTTTTTTGCTTGTTTGTTTTTAAAACCCACTGGGAGGGGATAGAAGAATTATGTCCTCCAGTGCTTCTGAATGTGAGATACTCTAAGTTAAACAGAAAAAAACAGAGGGTGAGTACGCCATTATTAAACACATTATTAGTTGATTTTTTGCCATAGTTACTTAGTGGGAGCTCCTTCAGTGAAACATTGTTTCCTCCTGTTTGATTACTTGTGGGTGAGTGTGGTGTGTTGTTTTTCCTGCAAAGTAGGAGCCTGATGTCTTGTATAACCTAAACACATTTAATGGTTTCATGTGGGATGTGAATTCTAGACTAAAAAGCTACTCTTCAGAAGGCTATTTGCAGCTAAGTGGAAAAAATAGCTGGCAAACTTCATTATGGAAGTCTGATTTAAGCAATGCTTGCCCATTTTGACATTGTTGCCCTTTCTTCATCCCAAAATAATTCCTACCTTATTAAGATAGTACTGAGTAACTCAGCGCATCTCAAAATGAATCTGTAGTGTGCATAACCGTTTTCACAGGATTGCACAACCGTTGAAATTTGACAGAACCTCTGGGTCCATCTGTCCAAAGCCCAGCTCAAGCAGGGACACCCAAAGCAGGGAGCCCAGACTCATTTTGAAGGAAAAACCGCAACCTCCTTGGGCAACCTATGCCAGTGCTCCATCACCTGCACAGTAAAGAAGTGCTGCCTGATGTTAGATGGAGCGGTGTTTCCTCACCATGCTTGTGAAGAAGGAATTTTCTAGTTGAATGCATCCATGTAATGTTGTTTACCTTTTGTTTTGTAGCCATTTAAAGATCGTTGCGAATGGTTCTATGAACATCTGCATTCAGGGCAACCAGATTCAGACATGGTGCACAGACCTGTCAATGAAAATGACATCCTTCTGGTTCACAGAGGTATTATTTTAAACAGAATTGGATGTCTCTGAAGTAAAATGAATTGATGCTTAAAATTAATCGATGCTTTATATTCAGATTCTATTTTTAGGAGTAGCTGTGAAGTTGTCTCTAAAGCAAATTGTGCAAAACTAAAGCAAGGGATTGCTGTGCGATTTCATGGAGAAGAAGGCATGGTGGGTAAAATTGCTTGGTTTTCCTTTATGCTTTATATAGAAAAACTAATCCTGTCTTTCATGAATAATGTTTGAATGAAATCCAAAATTTAAAATAACTCGTGCTTTTATTAAGAAATAGGTAGTTACCTACCTTAACTGGCAGTAAAAGCTCTAGGTACTAATATGTTTTATTCTTTTGACATGCAGGGACAGGGTGTGGTGCGTGAGTGGTTTGATATCTTATCCAGTGAAATAGTTAACCCAGATTATGCCTTATTTACCCAGTCAGCTGATGGTATGTCTCTGCTTTTTTTTTTTGTTGTTGTTGTTGCCTAACTTTAGGGTAATGAAAACATTTTTATCATCTGAAATTCACTTAATTGATTGCAGATTGTAAGATTGTTACTTACTAAAAATGAAACCGACAGAGTTATATTTGTGTGTAGAGAAGGGATTTGTTCAACATGTATTTTTAAAACTACAAGTGAATTCTTTTTAATGTGAAACTTCCTTAAATTTTTTTTGTCTTATGTAAGAGGAGAATGAATTGTTGGTTTAAATGAATCTATTCTATTTAACGTTTCCATTCTATTTCTATCTGGTATTAGTGGAACATAATGCTTTGACAGCAGTATAGAAAGTGTTTGCCTTTCTTCTGCGGCTTTAAGGAAGCTGTAGAGATAAGATATTGTGTCCAGGTCTGGAGCCCCCAGTACAAGAAAGACAGAGAGCTATTGGAGAGGGTCCAGAGGAGAGCCACGAAGATGATCAAAGGACTGGAGCAGCTCCCCTACGAAGACAGGCTGAGGGAGCTGGGCTTGTTCAGCCTGGAGAAAAGAAGGCTGCAGGGTGACCTCATTGCAGCCTTTCAGTACCTAAAGGGAGCCTATAAACAGGAGGGGAATCAACTCTTTGAAAGGGTGGATAACAGCAGGACAAGGGGAAATGGTTTTAAGTTGAGGGAGGGGAGATTTAGGTTGGATGTCAGGGGGAAGTTCTTACAGAGAGTGGTGAGGTGCTGGAACAGGCTGCCCAGAGAGGCTGTGGATGCCCTGCTGCTGGAGTGTTCAAGGGCAGATTGGATGGGGCCCTGGGCAGCCTGGTTTAGCATTAAATGTGGAGGTTGGTGGCCCTGCATGTGGCAGGGGGGTTGGCGATTCATGATCCTTGGGGTCCCTTCCAACCCTGACCATTCTGTGATTCTGTGATATTCATTCATTTCTCTTTAGAAAACCACAAAGTCAAGCAGTTCACTTTTGTGGTAAAATGATCTGTTGGTCTCCATGGGTCTACCTTGTATTTGACTTTTTGTCTTTTAGGTACTTCATACACAGCAAATCTTTATCAATGAAAGATTTCATACCTGCAGCAGTAATAAATGTTTTGCCCTCTGGCTTAAAAAGTCTTAGGGAGTGACAAGGATATCAGTCAACAGCAGAAGCATAGATCAGTTTCTGAAAGTTAAAAGGACAAGTGCAGGGATGTCTGTGTGAGATGGTCTCTTCCAAGAGGACCAAGACTGGATGGTCTGCTGTCTGTATGTGGCTGGATCCAGACAAAAGGAAGTGAATGTATTCTGATCTTTCCTGTGAGCTAGTTCACAAGTTTATAGAAGTATGGCCCACGAGAGTGAGCAAAGGTGCAGGTAGAAATGGAAGACCAAGTTCAGCAGATCATGCTTACCCTTTTGTTGATGATAATTATTTCAGGGTGTTGTCTTGGAGAGTGGTTATGTAGTATCATTGTAGTAATATGATGTCATTACACTGTAATATATTTTTCTTCTGTCTTTCTGACATGAACAGAAAAAAAACCAAACAAAACCAGCCATCCAGAACTCCAAAATAAAACTTTGTTTTCAAATAGCATGTTTTGACAAATATGATCTTCACTTAAAGTAGGCATATAGATAAAGAAATCCTATTATGTTCTTATTTTATAGGAACGACCTTCCAGCCAAACAGCAACTCTTCTGTAAACCCAGATCATTTGAACTACTTCCGCTTTGCAGGCCAGATCCTGGGATTAGCTCTCAATCACAGGCAGCTGGTGAACATTTACTTCACAAGATCATTCTACAAGCATATTCTTGGTATGGCTATATTAAAATCCTATTTATTACTCACAACAATTGTCTGAGCAGTAAATTTTCTCCTTTTTACTTTTGTATGTGTATTGAAAGTGCAAAGAATCTTGGTAATCTTTTGAGTATATCAAAATACAGCATAATATGACAGTGATTGCTGTTTCGTACCGAGTCTCTCTCTTATGAACTGCCACATCACACAGAATGTCCTTTCTTCTGAAGTGCTATTCCTTAGTTGCCTTTGGAGGTGTAAGATAGCTTGTTGTTTTACTTTTCCTCAAGAACATGGATAAAAAAGTTTTACTTTTCCTCAAGAACCACACCTTACTTTAAGCCCTATCAAGATGTTCAAGGGATTGTTTAGATCTCATTCTGATTTTCTACAATCAGCTTGTTTATCTGCAGTCTTTTTGTGATGATTGCTGAATCTGGAATAGATTGTCTCTTAACTTCAGATTTGCTGTTTCTTTTTCCTAAAAGAGTTTGGGGAGAACTGTTGCACTCTGATGATGCAGCTATCTTTCTCAAGATCTTCTTGCATGGGAATAGAGTTAACTTTTACTTCTCTCTCTTAGATCTGCTTTATGCTGTGTGACTGTGTACTTGGTAAGAAGTGAAGGCACCAGTCTGAAGCAGCACCAAATTGGCAACGATCCATTAGACTTCCATAGTAATTGTTCCTTCACATGATAAGACGGTTCTGAAATAGACATTGCTTTGTATGGTACAATTTGACTCTGACTTAAGGATTGGCCTCTCAGCAAGATATTCCTCTGTATGAGGAGAAGAATGACGCTTACAGGATAATCTCCATGTGTTGTATTCAGAAACGGGAATCATTTTAATGCTGTTTGCTCACATGCTTTGAGAATAGTCAGGTGTTGATCTTGTGACCTCTGTTGGAGATGACTACTGATTAATTTGGTTCTTTTCTAGTTTGAATTGAATTGTAATTATGTACTAGGTTTGCTGGTTTCTAAATTGACAGGATGGCCATGTGGTTTGTTTCTTCTTTCCTTTCTCCCTCTATTTTGCAATAGTATCCCATTCTTGTAGTCTGAATTTAAAGATGTCTGCCACTTCTGAAATATAAGTTTGTCTCAGGTTACCAGATTTGTTCTTTTGCTTCTTACTCTTGCTGCAGGATATTTTTCCAGAGGTGAGAAATTAGCACAGTATGTAAATCAGCTGTTGGCAGCATCTCTTCTAACAAAGCATCTCTCTATTTGAAAAGTGAACAGCAGCGCATAGCCTCTGTAAGCCTCTGTAAGATCTCGTCAGTACCTCTTAATAAGGTCTTACCATCCTGTTGAGCTGACACCCTGTAACTCCTCAGAGGTTTGAAGCTTAAGTTCAAAAGGTTCACAGGTTTTTGTCACTCTTGTTACTTTCTGAACACAGTAAAATGGAAAAATTATCTCTGTTTCCTAGAGTAATTGTTTTTCCTACGTTAGAGTGGCTTATTCAAAACAGATTCCTAAGGCCACTTCCCTCAGCTTTGTGAGTCTCCTCTCATTTCAGGAACCTGAGATGCACACCAGCAGATACTTCTGAGGGCTTTTTAAAATTTATTTTATTTTTGTTTCAAGTTTAGCTATGGGTTATGTACACTGTTGTTCATGCCAAATACAAGTTTCCAGGTTATAGACATGGTGGAAGTTCCTTTCAGCTTCTTGGGGGCCATAAGCAATGGAGTATTAAATATCCTATTGAAACCTGAGACCAGTTTCAATTTTCTGGTTTCTCACCTTGCACTAGGATCCTTCATTTTACTTCCTCTCCTAATGATGGTACACTGCTGTGTGCCAAGAACTCTGAGGAATAGTGTGAACCTCTTTCAAAGGAACTCTTCTGTTTAGTCAGCAGACATGAAGTGGAAGTGCCATAAGTAGAAGCTGAAACCTGTGAAAACAAGTGAGGCCAGTTTCTTTCAGGTTCAGGTGGGCTCGTCACCTTTTTACACTGTGCTGGGATCTTTTTGCACCAGTAACTGGTAGGCAAGGAGTGATCTCCTACTCTTGTGACAATACAGTTAAAACATGGTTTATAATGTGTTAAATTTCTGGATGACATTACTTTTATTTGTGCTCTTAAACTTCATTTTTCTTTCTGTTTATCAGTGTACTCTATCACAGAAGTAGAACTCAGGCAAGAATACAGTTAGAAATTACTAAGGTCTCTTTTTTATTGCCGCTTTTTTTCCTTCAAACTGCCTTCTGCTTAAACAGGGGAAGAGAAGATACTTTCTCTTTTGCTGTTATCCAGTTATTTTGTAGTTTTTCTAAAGAGACAGTTTTCTGTTTGGAAAAGGAAACTTCCAGCTCCAGCCTACAAAGCCTCAAGCACTATTCAGACCGTTCAGTGAAATACTGTATAGAGATTTTTTGTATTTACATGTTTGTACAAGCTGTTAACCTTTTAATTGTCATATTGTCTGGGGTGCTGCTCCTGCAATCTATAGCATTTTAAAACCTCTACTAACAGAACATTCATGTGACATCCTAAAAACTCACAAGACGACTGTGAAGAAAAAGACATACTTCCCAGTAATTAGTTTTCCTCCCTAAAGCTATTAACACTTATACCCTCTTCCTCTTTTCCAAGTATTTATTTTGACAGTTATCTAAATTATCTGTCTTCATAAAGTCACTCAGGTTTGCTTTCTTGTGCAGTGAAGAGGTAGTTTTTCTGTGCAAACTCAGTCACCTTGTTCTTGACATGTTTGCTCAAACTTGTTCTCAAGTGCCATGTCTGTGAAGGGGATAATAAATAAGAAGTTTCCATACTTGGCTGGAATCCAAACTTCTGGCACCTCAGTGTGTGTCTCAGTGCTTCTGAGTGACCTGAAGTTCAGTTTGAAAATGTGAAATTTCTATAAATCATTTTTTTTCAACTGAGTAGTAGAACTCATAACAAAAGATGAAAAAGAAAACTGAAGAGTGAAGGAATTTTCCAAAATGCAGGAAATTATTTATGTTTTTCCAGCTATAAATCTTTTTCTGGGGAGAAGAGATATTATACAGGAAGAAAAAAATAAATAAATATGGGTTCCTAGAAGTTACACAAAAACTTTTTAGAAGAGCTTATTTTTTTTTTTTTAATCACTTATTTAACCTTGTACATTCATTGTTAGATGCTTCTGCTGAAATCCACAAGCCATCTAAAATTGTGCAAGCTGTTGTTGCTCAAGAGGTGTGCCATTTGCTTCTCTGTGGGGGAAAAAAAAACATCCAGTGGAAACTTTAATGCTTTTAAAATGTTATAAGTACAGTTCTGCTGTAGTTTAACAATGGTGAATCCCTTTTCACACTTTTCTCTTACTGCATTATTCTGTTTCCTCTCTAGAGGGCAATCTTATACTATATATTAAATTAGAACCCTTTTTCCCTTCTTGTGTTTATTTTATCTTTATTTTTCTTTTTAGGTATACCCGTAAATTATCAGGATGTAGCATCTATTGATCCAGAGTATGCAAAGAACTTGCAGTGGATTTTAGATAATGATATCAGTGATCTGGGTTTAGAGCTGACTTTTTCTGTTGAGACTGACGTATTTGGAGCAATGGAAGAAGTACCATTAAAGCCTGGGGGTGCAAGTATACTTGTTACACAGGAAAACAAGGTGAGTGTACAGATTTATTCAGGGGCTGGCAATACAAGGAAAAATTATTGTACTCTTTTTCTGAAAACCTCATTTTTTTTGAAGACAGTCTACAAAATAAGAACTTACTGGCTCCTTTCTTTTTCTAGCTTGATGTGTTACTGAAGTAGTACTATTAAATGTATCTATTAAGTGTTCAGCGTTGTTCTTCTTTCTCTCAGAACTTCTGGAAGAAAAATGCAGTATTTATTTTAAATGTTACAGACATTGATACTGTTGAGTCACGACTGAATACCAGGAGGGTAGAACAGTAGCAATTGATAAAAAGTAAAATTGTAGCAGGGCAGTCCTAGATTGCCAGTAGCATACAGTACAATTGGCAACGTAAAAAGCTGCAGGAAGCTTTACAGCCATTTCCAGTTCACTCACTATGTGGTTGTATCAGTCGGTGTAGTTTACTTTGTGTATGCAGTATTCATTCGGTTTCGCTGCTAGCACAGGTAGCTGTTGTAATAGTAAAGACCACTTGGTGTCAGCATTTGCTCTCACAAAATTTTAGTTCCTCTTGGCGCAGTTGGCACCAAATTCTTGTATGCTTAATCCTCATTTTCATTAAGGCAGAGTGCCATTGCAATAACTGGGATATGTGTTATTAGCCAGATTCTGCCTGTTTCCTGCAATACAGTCATTCATGAAAGAATACGGACAATAAAACAAGTCTGATTGTGAAGTGAGTGGGTGATTAATTTCTTTATTAGCTATCAGAGAATGCAAAGATGTTGATTCTTGTTTCTAGGTGGTCTTGATTTCAGTGTATAAAACAGATCTGAAGATGAAACGAGTAACGTTCTTTTTAACAGCCATTTAAAAAGTATTTGGCAGTTATCAGTTAGCATGAAATTAGAAGTTTGCCCACATGAGGATTTCCTCAGCCATTAATAGCTCACATTGTTCCATTAACTTGTGACTTGCGGCGCAGTCTGAAAAAGGTGCTTGAATGTGCACAGAACATTTGCATCCCTGCCAGCTCATCTGCCTTCCTCAGCACTGTCAGGAGGGTTTGGGCAGCTTTTATTTGAAGGGTGGAAAGAAACAGCTGTTACAGTAGCTTTAGAACTGCTATTCTTCATTGATTTTTGAATTTGAAGGCTGCAAAATATAAAGTCAACGTACATCTATAAGATGGCAATGTCTCCTGTTTATTTCTGATTTTGACATCAGTGAGCCAGGCTATTGAGAATTGTAGAACTGTGTTTTAGTGTGATTTAGTACTGTTTGAGTATTTTTTCCAGTTTCTTTAACATGGCATGATTTTTGCAGTATGTTTTAGCTTAACGGCTCTAACAGGTTAAACAAAAGAGCGTGCTTTTATACAGCACCCTTTTTTTTTTTCCTGCAACAGATATCTTTTTTTTTTTTCCTGCCTTTACCTGAGGAATAAAAGATTTTTGCTTAAAAATCTTTGTATTTGCCATACCTCTGGCAGAAGGAAAACCAGCTTCTAAAAGAATTTGCTGTGTCTGCACACTAGCTGATTACCTGCTTGAAGATAACGTATATTGAAATGAAATTGAATGAATCCTTATTCCTTAAAAACCAAACCAACAAACCCTCCAAAACCCAAACAAGCAAAAACAAACAAGCCCACAGAAACCATCCAAACAATCTATTTTCCTCTTACAGAAAAGCAGAAAGGAAAAAAAGAAAAGTATATTATCGAGGAATAGAAGTAATAGCTGCATAGCTGTTTGTAAAAAGGTGTTTTCTTGAGCAAATTCTCTTTTTACCTCAATTGTATAATAGGTGAATGTTGTGGGATCGTACGATGTAAATGTACCAGTCTTGCAATTGGACAGTCTGCACAGTTCCAACTAAAGTTTCTGTTACAGTAGTGGTTCAACTACCTTTTATGATGATAATGGAGAGACATCAAAGGGAGAGATCTTGCTTTTTCCCATTTCCTTGCTGTGCAGTTTTCTTTATTCTTTGCTGTGTATTTTCTTTTAGATTTCTGCTTTTAGGAAAAACGAGAGACAAAGTTTGACCATATGCTGTTTCAAAAAGTAGTCCAAATTTTCTCTAAGCCATATTTGAGACATGTCTGTCTGTGACCTGGCCGTGCTGTCTGGCAATAGAAAACCACACAAATTTTTCAAACAGCTTTAGAATGTAGCTTCCCCCTAAACCTGTACATCATAATGGATGTTGATCCTTGTCTCACCCCATTACATGGGGTTGTGAAATCAGAAAAGTACTATCTTTGCTTGCTTGTACAAGCCCTTACTCCAGCTTAGACTTCTCCATTAGGTTTGTGATGAGCAGCACACTGAATGAAGAATGTGTTAGTTGTACCTTTTATGCACTATGTAGGACTGCATACAAAATTATGAAGATATATATATTTTGTAATGTGCTCCTGAGGCTTTGGAGAGGGAATAAAATGCAAATGAAGTGAACAGAGGCAAAAACAGATTGACCATTTTTTGCTGGCACACATTATGTAAATGTAGTGGTCTCAGAGTGCACCAGTTCTTGTAGTCAATATGCTACGCTGTTCCAGGCTGTTTAAAGATTTCTTGTTATACCTAAAGCAAAGTAACTATTTTCTTTCATAATGGATGGGTTTAATGTAAATATGTTTTAATACAGAAAATGAGCACTTATGTACATCATATTAATTCTAATGGATTTTTTAAAATAGGATTGTGAAATTTTCTCTCTACTTCCCTGTTTTCTGAATAGCCTAAGAAGTAACAGACTTAAGAACAAATATTTTTGCTTGTGGAAGAACAACGTTAACATTACTTTTAATCCTGTTATTGCTAAAGTTTCTTATTTCTACCCAGAGCTCATGAACGTAGTTGCAGAGGCTGACTCTACCACAGTTAGTCTCCTTTGGCTACTCATCTAATTCATTAGAAAAAAGAGATGTCTTCAGTTTCACTGATACTAAAAACAACCTAGGGAGATTACTAGATTGAAACTAGATTTTTGTTAACAGCTCTGCAGCTGAAGACATGCTTAGGTATGCCTTTAGATCTCTTTACAAATTAATTGTCCTTTCCCCCTGTTACAATGGTAGCAATGCATTTAAGAATATCTTCTGGCTGTGATGCAAGTAACTGAAGGATGTACTTCTATGCTCATAAGGAACTGCTTTTGAAAAAATACTTTGTTTCATGCTTCATTTTGTTTGGCTTTCTTTTCTTTTTTAAGAGAAGGAGAGACAGATTACTTAATTGTTTTTGTGCAGGTTCAAAACCTCAGTGTTACATTAATGATTTTTTTTTTTAAAATTACAAAAATGCAACGTAGATTTTTAAGGTTGTTGTCTTGAAGCAAGGTGATGGTTGAGATGGTTAAATTGGGAGGTATGTTTTATGATTTCCTTCCTAGAAATCACAATTAGGAAGTAAAAGCATTACTTTGAAACCATATACTTAAAAAAAAAAAAATATCCAGAAGTAGATTTCTATTTGAGGACAAATTTTCTGTTCTTGAATACTTTATTAGACTTGCACTGTTTTGTCAGATTAAATGAGAGGTGTTTGCACAGCTTTAATGCAGGCACTCTTAAATCTGTCTCTTTCTTAAAAACCTTCCTTTAGTTGCCTGCTAGGCTTTTGTGTTTTCAACAAAAGCAGAGTTCTGGAGAATTCCTTTTCTAAGGGAAATCTTTTAAAGCGGACAGAGCCCTCAAATCTCTAAAGCATGCAAAATATTGCATTGTCTGTTTGCGTATTATGGTATAAATACTGTTGTTTTTCGTCCCTCTAAAAATTGAGGTGGCTTTTGAGACTTTAGTTAAAAAACGTTATTAATACAGCAAAGTTTGCAGGGATTAGACTCTCAGAGGCACAAGCAAAGCAAGCAAGCTTTTTTGACTAGCAAATACTGCTTTAGGATGTTACCTTTTTTTTTTTTGAGTTATGTCACTTGGCTTAACTGTGCAACAGCATGCATCAAAGGTGGCTGTATTAGATGCAAACATGACAAAACAATTTTATTCACGTATGTGGTCTTGATCTAGGTCCATCTTGACTGGCTTCTGCTATGATTTGAACTCTTGTGTTGCCTTTGGAAGGAAGGAAGGAGTAAAACAAAGAACTTTGGACTGTAAAGGATCAGCTGAGTTATCTTGTGTTGCTTAACTTTGTGGAAAGTGCATAGGGGATTCTTAATGCCTCAAGAGGAGATGAAATTTGTAATATTTGGAGGACTGCATTTGTGTATGCATTATTAGTATGTATTTTTGCTATTGTATGTCTTAACATCATTTTCTTTTTTTCAGGCTGAGTATGTACAGCTTGTCACTGAACTTAGAATGACAAGAGCAATTCAACCTCAGATAAATGCCTTTTTACAAGGCTTCCATATGTTCATTCCACCATCTTTGATTCAACTTTTTGATGAATATGAACTGGTAAGCAGAAATGCCTGTACTGTTGGTCAGAGACTTTGTACAGCACCACCCTTCCTTGGTAACGGTATAGAAGCAGAGCCCAGAGAATACATACTTTGTATCTTTCATTTCAGTCCTTTCATTTGCACCTATCAACGAAGACCTCAATATGAGTATTCCTGCTTATCCTTCTTAGTGTCACAGGAAAATGCTGGTGATAAATGCTTTAAACTGTACCTTGAGAACTGTTGTCCGTGTGTGTGTGTGTATATTTTTTTTTAATTTTTTTTTTTTTTTTCTGGAGGACAGAATTGGAGGACAGAATTTCTTCAAAAATCATGAGATGCTGTGTACTGTCTTCACTTTTTTTGTTTGTTTGTTTCAGAATCAAATTGGAATAAGTTTTTTAGGGTAGTTTGTTATTCTGCAAATAAGGCATCTCAAGTTTTGTTTCAAGTCATGGTAAAACTTGGAGCTTTTATTTTTAGGTTCCTTCATTATAATTTCCATCTCTTGTTGTAGTGTGCTTAAATTAGGGAGATCATGTACAGTTGGCTGATTTCAAGAATCTTTTGATAGTAAAACTTAGTAGTAACACAAGATTCTGTAAGGGTGAAACTAAGCAGAAAAAGAACTGTAATCTTTTTTTGAATTATTACTTAAAAGCATTACCTTTTCAAATAGCACAAACATTTGAAATTAGTGGCTAGTCAAGACTAACGAAAAGCTGTGTGCTTCTTTTGAAGGAGCTTTTGTTGTCTGGTATGCCGGAAATTGATGTGAATGATTGGTTAAAAAATACAGAGTATACCAGTGGCTATGAGAGAGGAGACCAAGTAATCCAGGTAAAATATTTTTTTTGAATAATAATGATTGTTGCATTTTAATGCACAAGAAAGATGTTTTTTTCTGTTTATGTTTGTGTGTGTTTTCGTGGAAGCTTATTTTGGTTAAAATTTGTGGAGCTTTTTTATACTGTGTTCCTATATTAAGTGACTTAGTTATGTATAAATTTGATGTGAAAATTGCTGTAATTTAAGATACAGACAATTTATTGTTTTACCATGATCTCCTCAAATACTGTAAGTATTTGATGGAAAATGCAAACTAACTTATTTCTTCTTTAGTGGTTCTGGGATGTTGTGGAAGAACTAACTCAGGAAGAGAGAGTGCTACTATTACAGTTTGTTACTGGCAGGTGAGAAACTCTAAAAGAAATATGTTGTTTGGATACTCTTGAAATAAGTCAACAGACTTCAGATTATATACCTAGAAACTGCTGTGAATATTTTGGTGTTCAATGTGTTTATCAAAATAGACAAAATGTTTGTTAGTACTTCTGATACTTGTATTGCCGGTTAAATGGGTAATTACTCATTTATTATACTTGGCTACTTTGCAGGAGGCCTCACAGAATCATACAATTGCTCAGGTTGGAAAACACCTTAAAGATCATGTCCAACCACAGCTTAACTATACCACTGTAATAACCCTCTGCTAAATCATGTCCCTGAGCACCACGTCCAAATGATTTTTAAACACATCCAGGGATAATGACTCAACCATATCCGTGGAGAGCCTATTCCAGTGCTTAACAACCCTTTCTGTAAAAAAGTGTTTCCTGATATCCAGTCTTCCCCTGCCTCAATTTCAGGCCATTTCCTCTCGTCCTGTCACCAGCAAAAAGAGACCAACCCTGCTCTCACTATAAGCACCTTTCAGATATTGGAAGAGAGCAATAAAGTCTCCCCTCAGTCTCTTCTTCCCCAAACTAAACAGCCCCAATTCCTTTAGTTGCTCCTTGTAGGGCATATTCTCCAAGGCCTTTCACAAGCCTTGTTACCCTTCTTTGGACCTCATTCAGCACCTCAATGTCCTTTCTGTATTGAGGTGCCCCAAACTGAACACAATACTTTAGGTGAGGCCTCACCAGTGCTGAGTATAGGGCAGGATTGCTTCCCTAATCCAGCTCACCACACCATTCCTGATACAAGCCAGGATGCCATTGGTCTTCTTGGCCACCTGGGCACGCTGCTGGCTCATATACAGCAGACTGTCCATCAATACACCAAGGTCCCTTTCTGTCAGGTTGCTTTCCAGCCACTCCTCCTCAAGTCTGTAGGGTTGCCTGGGGTGGTTGTGACCAAAATGCAGGACCCGACACTGGGCCCTGTTGAAACTCATACAGTTTACCTTGGCCCATCAATCCAGTCTATCCAGGTCCCTCTGTAGTGCCTTTCTCCCCTCAGGCAGATCAACACTCCCTCCCAACTTTTTGTCTTCTGCAAACTTACTGAGTGTTCACTCAATCCCCTCATCAAGATCATTGATAAAGATGTTGAAGAGGAGTGGTCCCAGTATCAAGCTTCTGTATAGCTAATTTGCTGCCTCAGGCAATTTTCAAACAAGGAGGTAATGAATTTAATGACACTTCGTATTTGCCTTCCTGTTGTGTATTTATGTGTCTGTTGGCTTCTCCAGTGAGTACTGGATAGAATCATTAAGTGGCTTGAGTTAGAAGGAACCTTCAAAATCATCTAGTTCCAACCCCTTTGCCATGGGAAGGAACACATGCCACTGTAAGTTTTGAATAAATAGAAGTTTTACTATTAAAGACAACTAGGTATGATTTCAATCGGTGTAAACAGAACTTCTTTCTCCTAAAGCTCAGTTGGATTTGATGTTAGTACAGCATGACAAGATCAAGTGAAAGTGTAACCAGAAGAAAGACTGTTTGCTTTTTTAGTATTTCTATATTCCAGTCGTTCTTCAGGAAAGCCACTTTTGCTTCCTTTTATGGTGTGAGCAATAAATTTCACTTGGATCTGGGTGTGTTGCCAAGGCTGTGTATACAGATAGTTTGCAAAGTGACATATGTTGGCTGAATTTTGTAGTTACTTCTTGCTTTGTTTCTTTTTCTGTAATAGGTATAGACTCCACCATCTTTTTAACTTAGTGTTCCCTTCATACTTGAGGATCAGCAGAGCAGTTGACCTTTCCTTTGTTTATAAATTTTGTGATTAAGTGGTGGTAAAATACAAATTTAGATCATTAAACCGTATCTTTTATAGGAAGAAATTTCACAGTCACAGACATATCATCAAATGGAACAGTCTTCAAAAATTATATTAGTTTCACTTGATTTATTATGAATTTGATTGGTTTTAGAGATCACAGGCAATTTAAGAAGGTAGTTCTGTGCACACTAATCTTTCTTTATCCTCTACAGAAATGAGTCCTGTGATTCTTAGTGCACATCTGCTGCCTGTCAGCTGGTGGTCTTCTATATTTTTAATGAGCTAATCCATTTCTAAATCTAGATGGCAAATAAGGATCTTTAAGATGTAGGGTCATGTTTAAAATGTTTAAAATACTGCTTAAAACATTCCCAATGATAATGAACATACTGAATGCCACTTCACAGACATTTGGGATAATAACCTGGATTCTCGGAGATACTTTCTACTGAGTAAACAATTGTGTTTCCTGATTACTACATGCTTGAGCACTGTTCATCCAATCATGTCCTAGAAAGTTCTAGTTCTAGGACATAGAATATTTAGATGCCAAGCTCTGAATTGGTGTACAGGCCAGTATTTCAAGTAAAATTTTACGTTAAAGTTATATGTGATTTCAAACGATTTTTTTTTTCTAGCTGGATACTCCACATTTTTTTTTAAAGAGGAATTTATTTTAAGATTCTGTGTGCGCTGGTTTGCTGTCTGTATTCTAAATTTCCATTATTTTTCCCATTTCCCTTTAGTCTCTTCTGCGTATTCACTTAATTGATTTTTTTTTTTGTGAAGTAGTACTATTCTTACTTTCCAGTTAAAGGCTGTAAAATTAATTTTGTGAGTTGAATAACATTAATTACTTTTATGACAGTATCTTCAGTGTTTCTCTGACATCTCTAAATATTTCTGTAACCTTTCATCTTCTCTAGTCCTAAAGCTTTTTCTCTTCCATGTAGTAAAGGTTCACTTTGGTAGTTTCAGTACTTATAGCATTGAATTCATCAGTAATATTAATTTTGAGACTTTTTCTTTTGACAGTGTGCTTTCCATCTCACCTACTGTTTCAGTGCCTGTGTTTTGGAGGAGCACTCTGAAGAAAAAGCCTAAATATTCTTGTGCCAGATAATCATGTTGGGGACCCAAACGTTTTCTTAATAACCACCTAGTTTATAACTGTATTTGGCTAAATATTTGTTAATTACACATTGGCAAATTTTGATCAGCTTTTTAGTTAACAGTTGGAAGAAAGTGTTGAGTGCTTACTGTGATAAATGTTTACTAGTATTCTTTTGGCTGCAAAGTTTTTAGGTTATTATACTGTGGATGTCTGCACTTCTGATTTAACTTAGAAGTCTGCAGTTTCTGTTAAGTAACAAATAAGGTATATGCTATTTTAAGGGAAACTCAAAGTATTTGATAAATGTGATGGATATGATTATTCTTAAAACATAAAGTGAGTTCTTTCTATGCTGATTTTTTTTTTTTTTTTAAATAGGATTATGCAAAACCTGTTAATAAAAAATAGATAGTAATATTATGATTCAGATGCAAGTTTAAACATTTCAATAGCTCTGGAGTTTCCAAAGCTATAGAATTGTATTGTTGCTTTTGCTGAAGGCTATTTGTACATGCAGTATGAAAAGTAGGATCTTGTGATCTTATTTACACATCTTTGAAAGGCTTTCTTTATAACATTGGCAGTGTTTTGTTGAGATGAAAACACATACTTGGAAGTTTAAGCCAGCTATTTTGTGCACTGAAAGCCATGATTTTAATCTACTGTATGAAAAGCATTTTAATGAGTTAAATTATTTTAAAAAAAAAAAACAAAAACCCAAAAAACAGTTAGCTAATATTGGGCTGTTGACAAAATGAAGTCTGTATTTTATTGCTTATTTCAATGTAGAATTCTCCTGGCTCACAGAACAGAAGATCACTGCAGGGGATGCAGCACTGTGCTAGAAATGCAAGCCAAAAACATGATACAAAAGAGTGTACTGCTGTAAAATCTTTACAGCTCTTTTGAACTGTGGCTACAAACACAATTGCATTTGTACACCAGGAATGGTATGCTGCAAATAATCAGTACTTCTCTTCATAGTGAGAAATCATCAGTACTTCTCCTCACCACTGCTGGGAATGATGTGTTGAATTGTGCTGCCGTTAATCTAGGTGATTGAAACTATACTTGTGTTGGATACCAAAGTTGGTTCTTACTGCAGGGTCTGATAAAGCTCCTTAACATCTGGCAATAGCAACTTCCCCTTTTCTGCGTTTTTACCATGTAAGTTTACTTAGTGGAACCTTTGCTTCATTTTCCCTTCTTATTCTTGTTTTTTAGTCACTTTTTTTTTTTTTTTTTTAAAATTTATTTTCATTATCTTTAATGTGTTTTTCTCTAATCCTGAATGCTGACAATTGTTTTATATTTTATGGAAGGTTTATCTTATTTTATCAGATTCTTTCTTTGCTAGTTACAGAATCATAGAATAGATGAAGTTGGAAGGGACCTTTTCCTTTCAAGGAAAGACTGGATGTTGTGTTGAGGGACATGGTTTAGTAGGAGCTATTGGGAATAGGTGAACGGTTGGACTGGGTGATCTTTTAGGTCTTTTCCAACCTTGGTGATTCTATGATTCTATGATTCTATGATTCTCATCCAACTGCAAAGCAGGGTCAGTTAGAACTGGATGCTCATAGTCTCATCTGGTCTCCAAGGACCCCACAGCTTCTCTGGGTGACTTGTTCCAATGTTTGACCACCCTCAGAGTGAGAGAAGAAAACAACACAAAGCCCCCCTCAGGTTTAAATGCAATTTCCCAAGCTCTACTTTATTTATTCCCCCCTTTGGAAATTCAAACACACTGATCAGATTTCTCTGAGTTTCCTTGCTAAACAACTCTCCCTCCTCACATGGCAGGTGCTCTGGTCCCTTTGTGTCACTTGGCTCATCTTGCTGCAGCATCCTTCTCTCTTCTTCCAGAGAGCATTTCCAAGTGTTTCCCACCAGGGCTGAACACAGGCAGGATCACCTCTTGGCACTGTTCTTGATGCAGCCAAAGAGTCTGCTGTCCTTTGATATGATAATGCATTGCTGGCTCACATTCAACTTCATTAGTTCTTATCCTTTTGTTGCACTTGTTAGACTTTTAAAAGACATTCGTAATGAGGACTGTAATAAAAACAGGTTTTACATTGTAATGCATACCAACTTCAGCTGATACAATTATCTGAACTTTACTGTATTTGTCTCTGTTAGTTTAAAATCTGGAAAGGATGCTGAAGACTTCATGTCTGTTATCTATTTACACTTTAATCCTGAAAAATATATTGAAAATGAAGGGGAAAAAAAAAAAAAAGAATAAAATGATTAGTGAGAATGCATTCCTGATGATGTTAGTGATTTTTTTTTTTAATACTGTTTTGCCATGGATTATCACCAGGTGAGAGTGTATATGATGTGATGGTTTTATTAGTTAAGATCTGAGATATTAAATCTGAAGTACTAAATGAAAAGATGTATCAAAACACTTGGGTCAGTTGTTTCACAGGCAGTAACTGGAGAATAAACTTTTTAATGCTGTACTTTAAAAACTGTAAATGTAAAAAATGTAAATAAGGTGTGATAAATGTAATAATGTAATAAACTGAGGTAATGGTCTTATAAAAACTGGTTGAAGAAGTGAACTTGCTTTGCAAACAGGATTCTCCTAAATATCATTCAAGGAATTTGATGTATAATGCAGATAAATGTAAACCTATGTGAGTGTTGTAATTATAAGTATTTAGACAGTGTGAATTTTGATACTGATGTGAGAAAGGGAGAAAAGTATTGGTAACTTAAGAGATATTTGCAGTGTTACTAATGTATTTTTGGCTTAACTCTTCTTACAATGATCTAATTTCTGTGAGTATTCTCAGTTCCAGAGTGCCTCACGGTGGCTTTGCCCATATCATGGGTGGGAGTGGATTGCAAAATTTTACAATTGCTGCTGTGCCATATACTGCGAATCTTTTACCAACATCTAGCACATGGTATGTCAGCTACTCATTACAACACCTGAAAAATAAAGGGTTTTTTTTCTTATAAATGCCAGTCAAAATACCAGCATTTTGAATATTTTCATTAAAAGGCCCCAAATCCTTGACAGTTGCTGGAGTATTCTCTCGCCATCATCCAGGTGGTAGTTGTATGGTTTTTTTTTTTTTTGCTCATTTTTCTCTACTTCAGTCAAATGAAATCAATAAAGGAATTTAAAAGTGAAATTATTGTATTAACTACTGTGAAGAAAAAAACCCTTTTCTGCAATATATATGAATGCTTCTCACTGGGACTGTAATGCAGAACTGGCTTCCTTTGCTCCTTGTTCACTGAATGTGACATCTTTGGAATTTTCAATTAGAAAACAAAACTTTACTCTTGCATTTCTTGCTCTGATGAGTTTTCCTTTCCTTTTTTCTATTCTTGTTTATTTTTTTTCCCCCTTTTCAGTATCAACATGCTCAAGTTACCTGAATACCCAAGTAAAGAAATCCTGAAGGACAGGCTTCTTGTGGCATTGCACTGTGGAAGCTATGGTTACACGATGGCATAATGAAGTCCAGAAAACTCCTCTGACTACTGCTGTGAAATTCAGACTGTTAGTGGAATAGCAACTTGGATGCTGCAGTAAGGCTGAGTAATTCATACAGGACCATCAGGTTTCTTTCTCCATTAGATGTTGTCAAAGGAACTTTGAAATTGTCACGTAACTTACTTTTCTCAGTACGATGTATTTTCATTTTTTCAAATGACAGGTCTGTATGGAAATTGGTTTACATGCTTTTCATTATCACTTCAGTCTGAATTGGGAAGTTTGTTAGAATCTCTTTCCACTGTCTTATTTTTGATTTTCGACTAGATGGTTGAATGGCATTTGTTTATTTTGCATTCAGCTAGCATACTGGCAATGGACAGACTTGTACTTTATGCCTTGTTGCATGTGAAAGTGCCGTTTATTTTTTTTCAGAGAACACCAGGGAAAGTTCAATTTGGATATTGTACAGTAAGACAGATCTGATGTATTTTCCATTTCTTTGCATAGTAACAGAAATAAAATTTTATAACTTTTTAGTATTTTAATGTATATAGTATGTAAAGATTAGACTTATCACTGGAAGAATATCAGATGAAATTAATAGCTAATTTGTATTAGAATTTACACTATATTCTACTAAATATTTAAAGTATTTGTGACTTTATAGTTAACTTACAGTTTAGAATTTGTAAATATTATTTAAGTTCTATATTCATTTGTTTGAATGCCTTTGCTCTTTCCTTGACATAACTGTATGTTTAAAAGTTATTATTAAATTTTAATATTTTTACCAGAATCTGAATGTGACAAGTTTGTATGACTTTGTATATTTGGTTTTTTTTTTTTTTTTTTTTTTTTTTTTTTTTTTTAGGACTTTGTTCATCTTGTATATAATTTTAAATTGTCGTGGAAGTAGCTTTTGAGAAGGCATTATTAAAGTTTATGGATAGACATTATCAAATGCACAGGTGCACAGGGAAGGAACCTGAGCTTACTGAGAGGTTAACTGTCAAGGCTATCATAATTAGAATCTCATGTCAAAATTTATATAGAATTAGGGCATGTTACTCAAGTCACATGCAAAAATGCACACCTGAATGTTTTTCTAGTAAGTGAGGATAGATCATGTATTTTTATAGCAGTTTTAAAAAGATTTTATGGTAGGTCTACATTAGTATTTTGGTTCAGGCTAGGAGTGCTTTTAAAATTTCTTTAAATGATTCTGATCATCCCTACTTGCCATGAAGAATGTGGTATGGATTATTTCCAGCTGAAACTAAACAGAGAAAAGCTGTCCATGAATGTACCAAATGCTGTCAGATCAACATCTGATTATGAATGCAGGACAGCATTGGTCCAAAGAGATGATATGGCAAGTTAGTAAATGAGTGCAAGCTTAGCAAACACTCCAGAGAGAGAAATTTTAGAGTTCAGGTCCTCAGCACAAACAGTTTATTACTGATTTGCTCACATTCTTCTACACTAAGTGCTAATACTGGTATAGCCTCTATAATACAGTTCACCAGCTGATCTGTATAGGATGCTTACTTGATGATCCATGTTTTGGGGGGGGAGGGGGGAGAGGGAGAGGGGTTGTTTTTAATGTGTTTAATTTGTTTAATTCTTTTAATCTAAAGCACTCATAGCCTCTTAGGAGTGGGAGATAGAAATTCATGGGTCACCTGATTCAGTGGTGCCACAGTAATTTTTCTTAAGGGGAAGCTTTATACGTAAAGTTCCCCCCAAGTTCTGTTTGTGCACCAAAACTAACATTTTTTTTTTTGCAGTGCTTGTGGACGTCCATCTGACACCTTAAAGACTGCAATTTAAGAAGAATACTGCTTTTAGTTGGTAGAAAGAAGCCAGTCTTCTAGCTTGGCATTTCACTGAACCCTCATGGTGGTTCAGTCAGAAGAACCCTGACTGTTGGTTTAGTCAGCAGAGACATGCTGTTCCTCTGTGGCATCCTTTAGGAAGCTCAGGGAGATTATTTAGAGAGGTTTGAAGTTGGAAGATATGTGGGGTTTTAGTACTAAATTCCAGTTATCTCGGATCTGTCAGCAGAAGTACTTCACTTTTCTGCACAGCTGGGCAGTGCCTGATTCCCCGGCTGTGCAGCTCTCATGTCTTTGTCTGCCTCTGCTAGTTGGACTGACACAAGGAAAGCATTCTGTGTAACGCACAATATTTCTCAGGGATTAAGTATTTGCTTTCTTTGGGTAAACTGGAATTGTATCCGCGTGTTTTACTGTAAGTACAGCTGTCTGTGTATTATGCAACTACTTAGTTTTTCCTTTCACGTGGGAGATAAATCACCATTTACTGTGATGGGCAAAACAGACTCAGCGTAGGGATATTAATATACTTTATTGCCTATCACTTACAGCCTGGAGCAGTGAGAACCAAAAGAAAAATAAAAACACTTTGCTTTCTCCAAATGCTCTTCTGCCTCCCCTCAGGCAGTGCAAAGAAACGGGGGGCTTACGGTTCAACCACTGCACTTCCTTTCTGCCGCGTTTCCACGGTCGCTCTCCATCCCCGCTGCACGTGTGTGTGTCCCTCCCGCGATGCCGTGTTCCCCATCTGATCCCACATGGCCGCCTCTCCCGGGCCGCAGGGAGCCGCTGCCCCGTGCCCGGAGCGTCTCCAGCACCGACCCTTCTCTCCCATGTCGGCTCCCCTCTCCCGGCTGCTGTCGCACGGCGGTTCGTCCCTTCCTTCCGTCCACTCTCGCAGAGCGCACCCGGCGTCGCGCACGGCTCAGCTGT